GACGCATGTGCTAAACATTGTAAGCAACATAGCACATGCTGTAACCGTTAAACCCCACAGACAAATCCACAGATCCAATCGTGTTCATGTGCAGATATCAGTTTAAGTCAACCAATTATAAAACGCATAATTACAATCGAAATTAAAAGGATTAATGAAAAGAAAAAATAGTACTAACACAAATTATTTCCAATAAAATAAAAATGAGGAAAATTGCATCTCGAGTGTCTTGAAAACAAATAGGTAATGGCGAGCTCACAAATTGGATTTGGGTAATTCGTGAGGTCTTTTTCCCTTCCTGAATATTTGGACAGATATGCAATAAAATACAAAATTATGCGCAGATGTTTTATACACGATAAACTACAAAACAAAACAAAAAAATCAAAACACATCACCTTTCCCTTCCCTGAATGGTTTTTACACAATTAACCTGCAAACCAAAAAAAAAAAAAAAAAAAAATCAAACACAATCACTTTACCTTCCCTAAGTTTTGTACAACAAAAAAAAAAAAATAAAAAAATAAAAAAATAAAAAATCAAACACAATCACCTGTCCCTTCCCTAAATATTTTGGACAAATCTGAGACAAACACAATCACCTTTCCCTCTGCACAGATCTGCGACGTGGGTGGTTCACAATAGTGGGTGGGTTCACGGTGAATCTGTGACGTGGGACATATTTGGTGTGGTGGGGTGGTTCACAGTGGTGGGTGGGTTTCACAAAAAAACTGGCGAGGGAGAGATCTGGTGCTGTGGGGTGGTTCACAGTGGTGGGTGGGTTTCGCGGTGAATCTGACGTGGGACTGATCTGGTGCTGTGGGGTAGTTCACGGTGAATCTGCAACAGGGGACAGATTTGGTGCTTTGGGGTGGTTCACGGTGGTGGGTGGGTTTCACAAAAAAACTGACGTGGTTAGCTGCCGTTTCTCCTAGTTTCCTAGTTCTAAAGTCAGCTACGACATGTAATAGAGAGATGGTCTTTGGGACAGATCTAGTGCTGTGGGGTGGTGGGTGGGTTTCGCAAAATATTTTGTTGAATTTGCTTTCTTTTGGTGGTGCTGTGGGGTGGTTTTCTAATTCATGTTTTGGTCGTTTGTTGAATGTGTTTTGTTTTGTATTTGCAGGTTGAATGCTTTGTTGAATGTGCTTTGTTTTGTATTTGCAGGTAATAGAGAGATGGTCTTTGTTGAATGGTTTGTCACAGTAGTGAAGCACTAATGCAGTGAAGAAAACTGAGAAAATGAAATAAAACTGAGAAAGAGAAATAAAAGCTGCAAATTATCTAACAGTCAAAAACCTGTCAGAATTGTATTTTCAGGGTAGTATTGTCTGAATAACAAGCCAAACAGTATTCGCAAAATCAGTTTGAGAATATGGGAACAAATAATAAGCCAAACGGAGCCTTAGCCATCTTTCAAACTTGTTTTGTGAATCTAAGTTCAAAATTAGGGTTTCACGAAATCTTATAATCTTTCGGAAGAAGACAAAATGTTATGCCTGGAAAAGTAGGGTTGACACAGAGCCCTGTCAACATAAGTGGTCAGAGCTTAGGTAAGTCCAACAGCCATTCAGACGCAGCCACGTCGCACACTGGCGCAAGTAGCATGTTATTGCTAGTGCAGTAGGTGTGCGCTAGGCTGGTGAAAGGCTAGAGGCAATTCACATGTCCAATCCCTGAAAGCGTTGAGTAAATCACTCGAGTCGGTGAACAACGAGACGCAAGGAAGGATTTGCACGGCAATCTGACCCACTCCTTGATTTAGTAATGATTACCTCAATTCATCTCACTCTAAATAGAGAGTTCCTCTCCCGTTTGTGGGATTAGCTAATTTCTCTCTGGAATAGCATATATACACTCTCTCTCTCTCTCTCTCTCTCTCTCTCTCTCTTGTGTAAATCAGCTCGCTGAATGTGACCTGGTCTCATATATTAATACAATATAAGTGGACGTAGGATTCGCTTATTTAAGCATCCGAACCACTTTAAAGATTGTTCTTCATCTTCTATTCAGTTCAATACCCCCGTACACGTGTGTCATCTGAGCCAGCTTAGCATTTCCCACGTGCGTTTAGTTGGTATCAAAATCGCGCATCATTGCATCAACACAAAATGACATACTTCCCAATTGGAAAAAGTCTCATATTTTCAAATACGTCAAATGATTCACATGGTTTACATATACAAATTATTCATAGTCTAAGGAGATGTTTGGTTCAGGGAATGTTAGATTACTAGAAAGTTAGATTACCTTAAAAATTACTGGGAATCTTTAGGAAAATGTGTTTGGTTAATTGGTGGGTATGTTATATTAATATGTTTGGTTTGAAGGAATAAATTGGTGGGTATGTTATTTAAATTATTGAATTGTCCTCTAATTAAATATTATTATTATATTATTTTTTAATATTGATTATTATTTGGATTATATAACCCCCTACATTTAAAAACTTAGCAAAAACAACTCCATAATAAAAGTTTAGAAAATCAACAAAACACCTTCACTAACCCAACCACTACCGGTCACTGGCAACCATCGCAGGTCATCGACAGCCGGCAACCTAACGACGCATTGAAGGCAGGAAATGGTCTCCGTGCGCCATATGGCCATTTTTGGCCAGAGATCTGGCCGGAAATGTCCAGAAGTGACAGATCTAGGAGTCAATGGCCAGATCGATGGTTGTTGATAGCCACAAACGTGGCCGGTCTGGGATCTGGCCTTTGACGACCATATTGACGCACGACAACCATTTTCAGTCTTCCGTGCGCTGTTCCGATTGCGACGGTGGTTGTCTGCGGCAGGTGGGTGGGTGGGCGTGGTGGCTTGGGTGGGCTGCAATTTGTTTTGAATTCAAGGGTAATTTTGTCCAAAAAGTTAATTAATTGAGGTGAAATAGTAAAAGTCATATTCATGTAAATACATTTTAAAATAAGGGCATTATTGTCTTAAAATTTTTATTAATGAGGGATAGAATTGTAACAAAAAAAAATTACCTTGGTAATTTTAGAATACCTAGGAAAATTGAGGTAATCAGATTGCCTCCAATATTACCAACAGTAACTACTATTGGTATTTAAAGATTACCAGAATTTTATATTACTTGACAACCAAACGTGGTCATCAAGTAATATAAGATGATATAACCTCAATAATCCAATATTCCCTGAACCAAATGCACCTGAAAAATATCTTCAATTCCTCATATGATTTCTGTGCTATGTAAGACCTTTTCTAAGGGCATTATGTTGTCCTGCTATCAAAGGTGTGAACCTGGCGATGTTTAATTATGCCATAGAGGCCAAGGCAGGCACTTTGCATTTTTCTGTGATGTCTATCTTGTATATTGACCTTATTGATTATTGAACTCCATTTCTGTTTCCCAACTATAAAAGGTGTGATGTTTAATTATTCCATAAGCGTTAAGGCAGGCACTTATTTCTGTCAATGGGGAAACAAAACTGTGGCATTACATTGGTCGGCATCTAGAAGTTTCCTGAGACTTTATTGACATTGACATCTTCCTCAGCCAAACAAAATTTGACCTAATTATATAATATGTTATTTGTATTACAGGCGTTTAGAATTGTTTGACCCAGTTCATGCATCTTTAGGGCTTGAAAAGATGCATCAAAAGTCGTGAGTGAGCTCACACACACAAAAAAAAAAAAAAAAAAAAAATATTGGCGGGCGTCTGCAACAGTGGAGAAATCTTCCTGCTCATGAATTTCAAATTTATACCAAATCTTGGAGAAGATAACGGTTGCGTGTGGTTCATAATTTTGTATTTTTCAGAAAAGTTTTTTGAAAAAAGTTAAAAAAAAGTTGAATTAGACGGATATTACGATGTAGGATTTACAAATTATAAAATACCCTCTATGTTTATTTTTTTACAAAACACCCCTTATAATAAAACATTAAAAGTTAACAAAAATACCCTTAATCCACCATCAAATATGGACAGCCGGCCACCATCGCTGGAGGGTGACCGAAGTCGCCGTAATAAAAACATTAAAAATATTTAGGGGTATTTAATTGAATTAACAAATTTAGGAGGTTTAAAAAATGTTGAATAAAGTTGAATAATATTGTGAGTTTTTTGGTATTTTATTGTTTAACTTTTTAGAGAATACTAAAAGTAGTATTCTCAAAATCCAACCAAACGAAGCAAAGTCACTGGACAGATCAAAAGAAAAATACTATTATATAACCAATTCTTCTACAGAAAAAGGAGCTCAACCCCATGTATATTAATATTATATGAAAATCCATTCCTAGCTTGGTCCATTTCTATTTTTGATTTTGTAGTTTTGCCTTCTTCAATAACCACCATCTATGGGCGTCATCTTTTTGTCTGTTTTCTTACGTTTGTTAAGACATTTCTATTTCATTTTGGATCCCAGAATTTAATTGATGGTGGCGGCACTCTTAAACTAAAGTCTAAACTAAAGAAGAGAACAACAGAGCCGGCGGGGCAGTTTGACACCGCCCACCGACTGTTAACCTTACCTTAACTGTAAGCTAACTCGCTATACACCACAAACTTTATTGAACTTTGTACCACCTCTTCCAGCCAATAAGAATCTGCTACGTGTTTACTTTGCACAAAGTAAAATCTTTTAAAAAATGTGGAGATAGACCCAGTCTGGCTAGTCTCAACCAAATTTTTAACGTCTTTGACCGTTGAAATATTTTAGTCATCAAAACGCACCGCCTTCTTTTTAACTCTTTCCTTATTTATTTATTAATGAAAATTTTCTGATTAAGCAAACACAAACGCACTCGCATTTATTGAGCTTGGACCATATTTCACAATTAATTCGGTCAAGGCCTTCATAATCCAAAGGGTTTGTATTTAACGACAACAACAACGCGCGTGAGTCATCGCTAATTTCTCTGAACTGAACTGAGTCAATCCTAGTCAATTCCGTTACGGCGCAGTTTCGGTATTGACGACTATATATATATATAGCTTTCGTTAGTTTAGAGAGCAAACATTCAGAAAAAATTTCAAGCGAAACCGAATTAAGAGAGAAAATTGCAGAAGAAACACAGAGCAAGATGTGTGCAGTGGCGTTACCGAACTCGCCGATTTTTTCACCGTCAATGTTTTGCAAGCCATCAGTTTCATGTTCATCATCTCCGAGGATCCATGGCCCTCCGTCTGTTACAACGCCTCAATCACCTTCTCCGCCATCAACGTTGTCACCGCCGTCACCGTTATCGTCACGGATTCAAAAACAAGTGAATGCTGTAAAGGACGGTGTATGTGGTTCCGTGTTGAAGAGGAAGAGGCCGGCTAGGTTAGATATCCCGTTCGGAGGGTCGAGTGGCTTTGGACCGAAAATGACGCCATGTGGAGATGAGAGAGTGGATGACATGGAAGTTGAGAGAGATGGCTACTCCGTTTATTGTAAAAGAGGAAGAAGGGGTTACGCTATGGAGGATCGGTACTCTGCTTTCGTTGGCCTTAATGGGAATCATAAACAGGTGTGTTAAAAGAATTTATTAAACGTCTCTGAGTTTAAGTAAATATCTTAGAAGAATATTTTCCTAATGAATTTTTATTTAAATGCATATTTTTGTGTGATCACAGGCTTTGTTCGGTGTTTTTGATGGGCATGGAGGACCAAAAGCGGCCGAATTTGCGGCGAAGAATTTGGATAAAAACATAAGGGCAGAAGTGTGTTCGCGCAAATTTGAAGAAGAGGGTATTGAGAGAGCAATTAGAAATGGTTATTTGACAACAGATACTGAATTTCTAAGGGAAAATCATGGCGGTGGCACTTGCTGTGTCACTGCATTGATCCAAAAAAGCGATCTTGTTGTCTCAAATGTCGGTGATTGCCGTGCCGTTTTGAGCCGGGGAGGAGTGGCTGAGGCACTCACTTCTGATCACCAGCCCTCGAGAAAAGATGAAAGAGACAGAATTGAAGCTCAGGTGAGTAAACATTTAAAAAATAGAATGAAATGGGTCGATGTGATGTTATTATAGTAGCTGATAAGTTTATGTTATGCGTCTTTTACAGGGTGGTTATGTGGATTGTTATCATGGTGTTTGGAGAATTCAAGGTTCTCTGGCTGTGTCAAGAGGAATTGGAGATAGACATTTTAAACAATGGGTTATAGCTGAACCCGAAACCAAAGCTTTACGAATTAAACCGGATTGCGAGTTCTTGATCTTAGCCTCTGATGGTCTTTGGGATAAGGTAATTTAGTGACCCCATTTGAACTTTCTTGTAATTTTCGATGATTTTTATTTTCAAATGATGTTTGAATTTGATCGTGTTTGAAAATTTTCTTTCTTGTAACAGGTTTCTAATCAGGAGGCAGTAGATTTAGTACGCCCATTATGTGTAGGAGTAGAGAAGCCAGAATCATCTTCTGCTTGTAAAAAGCTAGCTGAGTTGTCAGTAAGGAGAGGCTCCATGGATGATATAAGTGTGATGATAATCCAATTGGGCCATTTTGTTCAGTGATTATTTACTAATAAGACAGAAAATAAATGAAGATAGGTGATGTTTACTTCTTCTCCTGCAAGTATTTTTTGAAGAAAGTTGCAGTTGAAGAAGCTAAGAATGCCAGCTTTCCGAAGTCTTTTCTTCAATTAGGTAGCTAGAGCCTAGAAGTAATCCCATTTCTTTGTATATTATCACAATTTTAATATTTTAGTTTTCCCATTTCAAGGAACAAAATAATAACCCAGTTTCAAGACTCTAACCTTGTAATCAAATTTTGTATATTTCAAGAAGAATAGAGATTCTTTGCCCACAAATTTGCCTTTTGTATTGTCTTGTGATCGTTCTCTTCGGTACTTTCTATTTGAGGCACTGTGAGTTGTTGCTCACATTTGACCTGTAAAATGTCAATGGAGAATAAGAATCTGCTTTGGTCCTTTTCACTGTAAAAGAACATGGGGGCAGCTCAGATTGGCAATTGACGGCCAGTGTCCAGTGAGCTTTTGGCATTTTGTTTTGTAGTTGGAACAGGTCAGTCATGTTAGGCAGCTGGCAGAAATATATTCTTTTATGCAAACATGCTATTACAATAGTTTATTTATTTCTAGATTCCCTGTGTTCTGAAATGTCAATTCTTTCTTTGCTTTTGCTCCTCTTTCCTCGAATTCGATTGATCAAATATTCATGGTAGTATAGACTATAGAGACACTTCATATGGCTGCAAAAAGTTTTGACTGTACATCTCTTGGATTTGTTCTTTGAGCTTGGTTTATCTGCACTCCCCAAGGTGAAAAAATTCTAAAATACAGGCAACCAGAAAATACAAATATGGCCGCGAATTCATGGAAAAGCTCAGTCTAAGTTTATTTTTTGTTCTCTTTATTTCTGAAATTACAGCAATTTCAATCTTTATAAAGTAAATTAAGATTAGATTATTATGTGCATCGATGCTCGCCGACACAAGAGGGTTCAAAACTTTGAATGACGATATTGATAAACAACGTAACAGGACAATAATTAGCACGGAAAAAACCGGTTTTACCGTTTCGATCCCTGTTTCTGAATTCTTTCGCTACTAATATCGTCAAAGAAAGTGCTTCTGTATATGTGGAGAAAGCTCAAGGACAAGCTCCATCTGAGTTCAGTTTTTGTAAAATGGGATTCTCCATTTTTAATCTGAAATTACAGAAATTTCTATCTTTTTAAAGTAAATTAAGATAGATTATTATGTGCATTATTGCTCCTTATACAGTAAAAAATAGTGCTTATACATATGGAGAAAGCATACTTGGGAGGCTTTTTCTCCACTTTTGGATGTATTAGGCTACTGGTCCAGGCCTTAAAAATACCCTTTACGAAATCAGTTAGAAGCCCTGCAGCCCCTGCTAATAACGCAACGTTTCCCACAAGCTTCACTCAACACCTACAACTTGTTCTAATGTGCACCACAAAATATCTACTAATTTAAGGTTGTTATGCTTCTTGTTATCACTTTTGGCCCACTTCCTTGTAGTCTTTATCTCAAAACTACCTCCCAGTTTCGCCCAATTCTACTTCTAAAGAAGTAATATGGGGAAGAATGTACAGCCTCAAAATACATCATATATTATTATCATTAAATTATATCATAACTTGTCTCTTTTTTTTTTTTTTTTTGGATAATCGGGGGTGTCTGAATCAATTTACGTACACCTCAACTAATCTCTCGGAACTTTAAAATTAACAATCGATAAACCCTCTAATTGTCACTCTTATTAGTGAGTAAGGGGAATCGAATTCAAAATTTCTTGAGTAATACACTCAAGAGTCAAAATCACCCCACCCAGATGATAACTTGTCTATTAATATAAAAACTAAAATGAATAAGTGTGTTCACAAAATTAAAGATTGGGAATTGGGTTTAGACCTATCTATGGTAGCCAGCTATTAAGGAAACAAGGAATAGTATAGATAAACGCATGGTCTCAAGTTTAATTTCTCATCTGAATATCCGTGTTTAAATGAGGGTTGTGATGGTGATTGTTACACCAGTCTCTCCTGATAATTAATTGAAATGCGCGTAAACTAGCTTAAACATCTTAGTTAAAAAAAAAAAAAAAAAAAATTCGGTATTAGTCATATTTCTTTTGTTACCATTACATATTTATGTTGCATTTAGAACCTTATGATACATATTTATCTAAAGTTCAACCACTTTAATTTAGATCCAAAAATTTATATAACATACTTTGGAAGTAATTTTAAAGGCCCTTGATATGTATATGGAGTTAATAATACACTTTTATTTGACACAAATTAAGAAAACAAGTTTTTTTTTTTTTTTTTAAAAAAAAAAAAACCGTTCTTTAATGCTCTAGTGTTTATTTGAATCATGTGCTGAAAGAAAAGTACAATATCTAGTACATAAAATTAAGGTTATTTGTCATGCCAACACCTAATGCTTTAAGACTCATCTAGCACAACCTAATATACATTAGTTTATACTTTATAGTGGTGTCTCATTATTCAAGTTCATGAAAAATAAACGTCGCCAATTTTTTTCTTTCTTTTTTTGTAATTTTCTTTAATTTTACGTGAAATTTATTATCTTTGAATTATCTCGTCCTTATATTATTCTTTTAACGAAAAATGATAACTATAAGTGGATAATACACCACAATATTATATAATATGACACGTCATTTGTGTAAACATAAATGAACGTGACAGGGGTGAAATAATATACAATAAAATAAACATATAATTCATAGAGATAATGTTAGACGCACTAATTTTTCCATATAAACTGATGTGTCAATATGTTATAAGGTGAATTGATGAATTTGTATACAATACCAATATAAAATAACTTATAATTCAAACCAATAATACTAGAAGATTTAAACCACTTGGTTTGTGATCGGATGGTATGACTTCGTGTGTTTAAGTCTCATAAAAGGGTCATCTATCACATTTGTGATTTACTTAGTCCACTGGATTTATAAGATATTCAATGGTAGTCCATTGGGCTTGTAAGATGTACAAGGTGGTCACTTATTATATTTATAATTTACTTGGCTTATTAAACTGACTTGGTCTATTAGGTTTGTAAGATGTTTAATGGTGGTCCATTAGACTTATTAGGTGTTCAATTGTGACCCATTGGGCTTGTAGGATGTTCAATGGACCAATAGATCCTGAGGATTAGTTAAGGTGCACACATGTTGGCCCAAACACTAATAATATTGTGCTTACAACTAAGTCATACAATCAGAAAAAAATTACACAAAATTCATATAAAATGACTAATTTGTTTTTTGTTTTTTTTGCTTAGTTATAAGCATAGTATTGCTCGGCTGAACACTTCGGTTAACTAAAAAGAAAAAAAAGACACTGAAGGTTTAAGTTTATCAACTGATTTTTCTTTTTAGTTTTTTTTTTAATTTATTAAAAAAATTTCCATCACTAACCACACTTTGTCTAAAACTTGAACTTTAAGAAATGCTGGTACAAATAATTGGATTACAATTCACAAACCCCAAATAAATCCTAATTAAAGCAAAGAGGTAAATAAATTAATAATTCGGTTAAAATTATCCGGGTCAAATCGTACCCGAAACCCGGCGCCTATAAAATCAAAGCCAACTGATGCGCACATCACACTAAGGCACATTATAATACGACCTTCTCCTGGCTTCCTGTCCGATTTTTTCTTTTTTATTAATTAATTAAATTACATTCCTCTTTTCGCTTCGGTTCTTAGTAGTGTGTTTGAGTACCGTAGATAAGAATATAAATAAGATCTCTCTTTCTTTGCTTTTCTTATAATCCCATTTCTCTCCTTTCCTCTCTCTAGATCTCCCTTCTAGGTTTTAATCGCTGCTCTAGATCTCGCAGCGGTTTGAATCTCGAGTGTTTGACTCGAGAAATTGAACATTAATCTCTACGTAGATCTCAGATTCGTCAATTCTCAGCCGATCTGATCCACCATGGCGGCTGCCAACGCTCCGATCTCCATGAAGGAGGTCTTAACTGTAAGTTTGTTTTGTTATTGATTTAATTTTTGAGAAATTATTTTCAGTTCTAGATTTCCTTCGTTATATCATAGTTACATAGGATTAATTTTTAATTTTATTTTTAAAAATGTTATCACTCAGCTGAGTTTAAGTTTTAGTAGATCTGACGGGAATTGTATAGGTATAGATCTGTATGGAAGTTTGTTTAGTACTGTTTTATGTTCTTTGGAAGAGTGGAAATGTCACGTGATTTGGAAGTATTAGAGTATTTGAGTCTTGAATTTCACGTGATCTGACGTGTGCTTGCAGTTGCCGAGTATTGGGATCAATCCGCAACATATTACGTTCACAAATGTTACGATGGAATCGGACAAGTATATATGTGTTCGGGAAACATCGCCGCAGAATAGTGTTGTGATTGTCGATATGAATATGCCAATGCAGCCGTTGAGACGGCCTATCACGGCGGACTCAGCACTTATGAATCCTAATACTAGAATCCTTGCTCTGAAAGGTAGGATTTAAAACTTCTTCTTGTTTTCACCTTTAATTTGATGGGAATCTATTTTGGGTAGTGTTGTTAGATTAAGAATTTTTACTTCTCGTGAGATTTATTTATTTTTTAATGTATTCATTTCCTGGTTGGAAGCTTACGAGTAATTTCTTTGCCTTGCATGATTGTGATAGATCAGTTTGTTATCTACCAAGTCTTAGGTTTAAATATAGTTTCCAAAAGAAGTACACTCGCTATTTTGTTTATTTGCTCTCTGTAGAGCTGCATGGTCATGGTATGGCCTGCTGAATTAGGTTCAGTAACATTGTTAATCAACTGATCTCAAATCTCAGTCATATCTAATTGTTCTACGGTTCTACTAATTTTTAATTCAAGATTCAGAAAATTAAATGTATTCATGTTATTTAAGCCATCAACGAATTCTAAACTTAATTTATGGATTGGATATATATGGTTTTGTTCTCTCTCTAACAACTTGAAATTCCTTGACTTTCCTTACATGTTTATTGAGTTCTAAATGGATACTTCTTGAATTTACAACCTTGTTAGTTAGGAAAATATATGGATATAATACAACAAATAGGTGGCTCCAAGGAGATTTGAAACCAAGGGGCTCTACCACTTAGCCCAACATTGAAGGTTTTGTTCATGCTTATTCTATTTTTTTTTTTTTTTTCTTCTTTTTGAGGGGTGGGCTTATACCGTGATAGGTTTTCTGCAAGTAAATAGGGAATTTGTGCCCTTAAGGTTATTTTGTCTAATGAATTAAGAACACTATTTTTCTTTTTTTGAGCCTGTTAGGTTATCAAAACATATATATATAAAATATATATTGCTTCCCGTGATTTCAGATTGTAGATTTCACAGTTGAGGTTGAACCGGTTATGATGATGAAGTTAGTGATAGTGTTGGAAATTTATTCAATCTCCACTTTTACTATACTATTTGGGCATCATGCCTGTAGTTTGTTGTGATTTCGTATCTTTTACAAGTATCTTTCATTTGTACCATTGGAGCCCCTTTATACCTTTAAAACAGAATTTCCTTTATTTTTTCCTAAAAAAGTAAGTACATTTGGAAGGCTGATTAAGTTATTTCCTAATGTGTGGAATAAGATCTGTGTTTCTAGGAAATTTTTTAGGTTTTATATGATTATGTTAGTTTTGAATTCTTAATGTCCTGTATTTATGTTTTGTACATTACCTGATCATGAATAATGATTTTTTCTGTAGCTCAACTACCGGGGACCACCCAAGATCACTTACAAATATTTAACATTGAGTTGAAAGCAAAAATCAAATCACACCAGATGCCTGAGCAAGTGAGATCTTTACTATTTAAGACTTTATTGCATTTTATATTCTGGTCTGAATTTTTTTGTTCAAGATTAAAATAAAGCTAATGAGAGCAATTTCATGTGTAGGTTGTCTTTTGGAAGTGGATTAGCCCCAAGCTGTTGGGTATGGTCACTCAGACCACCGTATATCATTGGTCAATTGAAGGTCTTTATAACTTTCTTTTAATGCTAGTAGTTTGCTTTTTTTAATTTTTTTTTATTGTTTGCTTAAGTATGGTTCTCAACCAATACTCTATGCAGGTGATTCTGAGCCGGTTAAGATGTTTGATAGAACAGCTAACTTGGCCAACAATCAGATAATAAACTACAAATGTGACCCTTCTGAAAAGTGGTTGGTTTTGATTGGAATTGCTCCTGGGTCAGCTGAGGTATGTGGATAATCAAGTATATGCCATTTGAGGCCTGTTGTATGATGCTCTTATTAATTTAGGCATGATGTTCATTTTGGGAATAAAGAATAGTAACAAATGCCCTTTTAAGCTTAAACTTGTTAGATATGATTGATTAGGTACCGTATGGTATAAGTACATTGCTCAGTAGTTGAGGTAGCCGAAGTATTATGTAACTTAAATAGCAAGTCCAAACTGGGCCTTCCCTGGTATCTATTGTTTTGTGAGTTGCCCTTGCACCCTCCAGGGCTTTATAGTAGTAGTTGCTTCATGTCTCCTTTTGAAAAAAAGAAAGAAAGAAAGAATGATCCTTGTTTCAAACATCAACAATGATTCTATGATGTGGTTTGATCACCTTCCCCCTTCAGAAGTGCTTAGATTTGGCTTTTAAGTCATTTTACAAATGCTTCATTTTTTAATATTTTCCCCTTTTCACTTTCATAATAGTTTAACCCATTATAGTCTTTCATGTTAATTTATTTTTAACACAGTTATGGTGTTCTAATTGTTATTTTCTTGTTCTACTATGTCTGTAGAGGCCACAATTGGTTAAAGGGAACATGCAACTTTTCTCTGTGGATCAACAGCGTAGCCAAGCACTTGAAGCACATGCTGCATCATTTGCCCAATTTAAGGTGTGGGGGTTTCCTTCACTATACTTTTCCTCTTTCCTTTGGCATTATACAACTGCTGTCTGCTACATTGTGGTTGTTTGTTTTTCTTGAGCAGGTTCCAGGGAATGAGAATCCTTCTGTTCTTATTTCCTTTGCCACTAAATCTTTCAACTCTGGTCAGATTACATCAAAGCTGCATGTTATTGAGCTTGGTGCCCAGCCAGGTCAACTTTCTGTTTTGAGTTTTACTTCATCCTTTTTTTTTTTTTTTTTTGGTCAGGCATGGTTGAAATATTGGAGCTGTGTGTAATATAAAGATTACACTGTTACCACTAACAAATTTGGAAGCTCTTTTAATTGGAAATTGCTAATAATGTTCATTTAGTTCACTAAGAAGTTGCATAAAACAGACTAGTTTCAGGTTTAGAGAAGCTTCTGAGACAATTTCACAATGAAACTGGATTTCAAAATTTAGTTGTAATACTTTCTCTACTTTGCTGAAATTTCAGTCGACTGCTGAATCAGAAGATTTGTGATGTTTGGATTGTCGAGGTTTAGAGTTTTTGGTTGCAAGTTTGAAATTATGAGTTCTGTAGGAAGTTCTACATCAATACCTTAACAATTTCTGGGGGAAGCATGAAATTGTTGATCATTATAAACAACCTTTCATAAATTCATTCTTACAATTATAATTTTTCTTTTTCTACATCTGAAGCATTCTATTTGTCTCTTGACATTAAAAATCTGTTGACAGGAAAGCCAGCTTTTTCAAAGAAACAGGCAGATCTTTTCTTTCCCCCTGATTTTGCTGATGACTTTCCAGTGGCAATGCAGGTATAACTCTTGCTGTTATATTTACCTTTTTTAGTAATTGCAGCATAATTATTGACTAACAAATTTGTAATTGGCAGATATCCCACAAGTACAGTTTGATATATGTTATCACCAAGCTTGGGCTACTGTTTGTTTATGATTTGGAGACTGCTGCTGCTGTATACAGAAATAGAATTAGTCCTGATCCAATATTTTTGACAGCTGAAGCTTCATCAGTGGGTGGTTTTTATGCCATCAATAGGCGAGGCCAGGTTTTGCTAGCTACTGTGAATGAAGCAACAATAGTGCCTTTTGTTAGTGGCCAAGTATGTAGATAAGCATGCCTTTTTTTTTTTTTTTTTTTTTCATCACTTAATAGAGAAACATTGTTTCACAAAATTTATGTTGGTTATTGTTTGTTCCAGTTAAATAATTTGGAACTTGCAGTTAATCTTGCCAAAAGAGGAAACCTTCCTGGTGCAGAGAATCTGGTAAGTTAATATATATATATATATTTTTCTAGTCATATTAATTATGTTGAGTTTATTAGGGGAACTGGGATGAGTTCTCTTGACATATTGTGCCTGTTATTCTCTCTACAGTGGTTAAAGTTTTAGTTCATGTGTTCGTGATAAAACAAACCCATGTATGGTTTCCTTGTTATGTGAGACCCTCTAAGCAAGGCTGTTCTCCATACATTTCTACAGTTAGTCAAACCAAGTTCAAAGTGTTTTTTTGCTGAAAATGTCATTTAAGACTTCAAATCTAGTATGTTATGTCTCTTATAAGAGGGGGATTTCAGGCTACTTCCAAAACTTAGCAGAAGAAAAAGATCATTTTCACTGTTTCAACATTTACCTTCTATATAACTTGCTATTTTCTTCTCCAATTCTTTGTATAAGAAGCAATATATATGTTATACATTGATATTGCAAGGATGAAACATGAAGAAGGTAATTTTGAAGTCCATTTTTCATGTATGGTATGGCTATATCTGTGTTGCATGATTTCTTTCTTCATTGATCTGATGGTTATATCCTCGAGTTGGTCTCACTGACTTAGTTAAAGATGTTGGATATAATGTCCAACTGTTGATGTATGATTGATATGTAGGGATGTTTATCCAGGCAAACATATATCCGTTTGATTTATTATTCTTTTTGTATAATAAGTAGTTGCTGACATGCCACCTTGGATATTTCAGGTTGTGCAGCGTTTCCAAGAGCTGTTTGCACAAACAAAGTATAAAGAGGCTGCTGAACTTGCTGCAGAGTCTCCTCAGGGACTACTCCGCACACCTGACACAGTGGCCAAGTTTCAGGTTTTCTTTCCATTTTTCCAATTTATGTATTTCCCTTATTGTTAAAATTGAGTCTGTGAGCATTAAACTTTGTCCAAGATGAATTGGAATGACATGAAATTTATACCATTGGTTTAATTTTCTATCATCATTGTTGTAGAGTGTTCCTGTGCAAGCTGGACAAACACCACCTTTGTTGCAGTACTTTGGGACACTTTTAACAAGAGGAAAGCTCAATGCATTCGAGTCGTTGGAATTATCTCGTCTTGTTGTGAACCAGAACAAAAAGAATCTTCTGGAGAACTGGTTGGCTGAGGACAAGTTGGAGTGCAGTGAGGAACTTGGAGACCTTGTGAAGGTTTGACTTGCAATTAGAAAACACAACTATAACCACTAATACAACAACAGATACAAACTTAAACTTATTATAAGTTAATTACAACAATGGTGGGATTCTAATGTCATACTGCTTGATCAGTTTAGCTCTAATACGATATGAAATTGCCTAAATCCAAAAGCTTAAGTTGATTGATTAGGTCCCAACAACACTATTTAAACTCTAACACTGCCTACATGAATTTATTGGTCTTTAAAATAGTTATGGCCTTGTTTATGTGGCAGACTGTGGATAATGATCTTGCGCTGAAAATATATATAAAAGCTAGAGCAACCCCAAAAGTTGTTGCTGCTTTTGCGGAACGCAGGGAATTTGACAAAATTCTCATTTACTCGAAGCAGGTAAGTTACATGCCTCTTATATTGTTAACTCCAACCTTCTCTCCGTGGAATCACATGGTCTCAGTGCATTTATGATTTCCTTATTGTTTTAGGTTGGGTATACGCCTGACTATTTGTTTCTTCTGCAAACAATTCTCCGTACAGATCCTCAGGTATGTTAAAGTCTTTGAAGGTTGAAGCTTATTAATTGACACATTTAATTCTACCATATGTGATAAAGTTTTGTACTTTTAAACTTAGTGAGATTCTCACTTTCAATTACTAGTTTTTATTTTTTGGTGTTTCCATTCATTTTACCTTTGTCTGGAATCTTATTTGAATAATGTAATTTGATAAGAATCAAACTGTCTTCAAACAAAATAGGTTACTAATTATCAAAGTTAACGTCCCTCGACAATTAAAACGGAATTACTACAGAGTTTACCTCCCTCCGACAGGTCAACTAATGTTATGGTAATGTCTAGAAAAAGATCAGGTTGGTTACAATTGCTGTTTTTCCATTGTATGTTGTATAATAGTATAATTTCACTGAGGTCTCCCCACTGCCGTTGGGGCGAATGATAATTTTTTTTTTTTCTGAATTTTATTATTTATCTTTTAATAAGCTTCGTATGGTTTAGAACTTTATTCATGTTGTTATTGTGAAATGTGTAGTATCCTTCTTCTTTTTTTTTTTTTTTACTCTAATGGAATCTGTCCTTAACTATTTCAGAGGAACCTGATCCGTGAAGCAACAGCCTTCCTATTGGACGTTTTGAAGCCAAATCTGCCTGAACATGGTTATCTTCAAACAAAGGTTATTTAATTAGTTATATTAGCTGATTCATTTATATTTATTTTGAGTTTGTAATTTTGTGTGCTCTTGCTTAGCTACATAATATTTCCCCTCCCTTTATATAGGTCTTGGAAATCAATCTTGTAACTTTTCCGAATGTTGCTGATGCTATTTTGGCCAATGGAATGTTCAGCCACTATGATCGTCCTCGAATTGCCCAACTTTGTGAAAAAGCTGGTCTCTATATGCGAGCTTTACAAGTAATAAAGATTAAAGCTGTCCTTAATTTTTCATTTTTTTCCATTCATTATGTGCATGTTTCCAATGGTGTTTCATGGATTAAACATATAACTATGTATGCAGCATTACACAGAGTTACCGGATATTAAGCGCGTTATTGTCAACACTCATGCAATTGAGCCACAGGTATACATCTCCAGTGGTTATACCTCTTGATCGGACTAAAGATTGTATAGTTGTTAACGATTGTGTTCTCTGCAGTCACTTGTTGAATTTTTTGGTACTCTTTCACGGGAATGGGCTTTGGAGTGCATGAAGGACCTTTTACTTGTTAATTTAAGAGGCAACCTTCAGATTATTGTGCAGGTACGTGTTATATTGTGATTTGTGGTATGCCAGTTATATTGGGCTTGTAAACTGAAGCCAACTTATATATATTACCTACTGCAGACTGCCAAAGAATACTGTGAGCAATTGGGTGTTGATGCATGCATAAAACTTTTTGAGCAATTTAAGTCATATGAGGGGCTGTACTTTTTCCTGGGGTCATATTTGAGTTCAAGGTCAGTTTTTTTTTCAAAGAAAGAATTTCCTTTGGCTTTGTGGATTACAGATATCCATGGTAATTATTGCTAATTCTGACTATGAATATGTTGTGTTTGCATTATATGACAGTGAGGATCCTGATATACACTTCAAGTACATAGAGGCAGCTGCTAAAACTGGACAGATAAAGGAGGTGGAGCGAGTGACAAGAGAATCAAATTTCTATGATGCTGAAAAGACGAAGAACTTTTTGATGGAAGCGAAGCTTCCTGATGCTAGGCCACTGATTAATGTTTGTGACCGTTTCGGTTATGTTCCAGATTTGACACACTACCTGTACACAAACAACATGCTTCGCTACATTGAAGGTTATGTTCAGAAGGTATGAAATTTGTTGCTTTGATCACACGAAGATGCAGTACTGTCATTTGAATTTTTCTTTATTTTAATCATTTGAGAATTTTGTTCTTTGTTTTTTAGGTGAATCCAGGGAATGCTCCATTAGTTGTGGGGCAGCTATTGGATGATGAATGCCCAGAAGATTTTATTAAAGGCCTCATTCTTTCTGTCCGTTCTTTGCTTCCAGTTGAGCCCCTTGTTGAAGAATGTGAAAAGAGGTGATCCTAATTCTGCCCACTGTCCTGCTTCTTGTTGCAATTGCTTCATATTACTCATGATTCACTTGTGGGTTTTCAGGAATCGTCTTCGTTTACTCACTCAGTTCTTGGAGCATCTTGTAAGTGAAGGAAGCCAAGATGTTCATGTCCACAACGCTCTGGGTAAAATCATCATTGACAGCAATAACAATCCAGAGCACTTCCTGACTACTAACCCATACTACGACTCAAGGGTGGTGGGTAAGTATTGTGAGAAGCGGGATCCAACCCTGGCAGTCGTTGCTTACCGCAGAGGACAATGTGATGATGAGCTCATCAATGTCACTAATAAGAACTCTCTATTTAAGCTGCAAGCCAGGTTCGTGCATTGTTTTACTTGAAAAATTTGTTATTCTGTGCATGGTTTTATCTGGTGCTTGTAGGTTTATGAAGTATTCTTTGGTTGCAGATATGTGGTTGAAAGGATGGATGCTGATCTTTGGGAGAAGGTTCTTAATCCTGAGAATTCCTTCAGAAGACAGCTCATTGATCAAGTTGTATCTACGGCTTTGCCAGAGAGCAAGAGTCCAGAACAAGTTTCGGCTGCTGTTAAAGCTTTTATGACTGCTGATCTGCCCCATGAACTTATTGAACTTTTGGAAAAGATTGTGCTGCAAAATTCTGCTTTCAGTGGAAACTTCAACTTGCAAAACCTGCTTATCTTGACGGCTATTAAGGCTGATCCTTCTAGAGTCATGGATTATATTAATAGATTAGATAACTTTGATGGACCTGCAGTAGGGGAAGTGGCTGTTGAAGCCCAATTATATGAAGAAGCATTTGCAATTTTCAAGAAGTTCAATTTGAATGTTCAGGCTGTCAATGTTTTGTTGGATAATATTCGAAGCATCGAACGGGCTGTGGAGTTTGCATTCCGGGTCGAAGAAGATGCAGTTTGGAGCCAGGTGGCAAAGGCTCAACTCAGGGAGGGGCTGGTGAGTGATGCAATTGAGTCATTTATTCGTGCTGATGATTCTACTCAGTTCCTAGATGTTATTCGTGCTGCTGAGGATGCAGACGTATACCATGACTTGGTGAGGTACCTTCTAATGGTTAGGCAGAAGGTAAAAGAGCCCAAGGTGGATAGTGAGCTCATTTATGCATATGCAAAGATTGATAGGCTGGGTGATATTGAAGAATTTATTCTCATGCCAAATGTTGCTAATCTTCAAAATGTGGGTGATCGCTTGTACGACGACACCCTCTATGAGGCTGCAAAAATAATATATGCATTTATATCTAACTGGGCGAAGTTGGCCGTCACACTTGTGAAGCTGCAACAATTCCAAGGTGCTGTTGATGCAGCACGAAAAGCCAACAGTGCAAAGACATGGAAGGAAGTTTGCTTTGCTTGTGTTGATGCAGAGGAGTTCCGTTTGGCTCAAATTTGTGGGCTCAACATTATTGTACAGGTATTACTTTCATTTCATGACTTTTATTCTTAGCACGTTTTGTATGTTAAACATGCATGCTCATGTTGCCATTTATTGAGCCTAGACATGTTTGTCCAATATATCTCTCACTCACCATTATGAATTTTGTAGGTTGATGACCTGGAAGAAGTCAGTGAATATTACCAGAACAGAGGATATTTCAATGAATTAATCTCTCTCATGGAGAGTGGTTTAGGTTTGGAACGTGCACATATGGGCATTTTCACTGAGTTGGGAGTTCTTTATGCCAGATATCGTTACGAAAAGCTTATGGAGCACATCAAATTGTTTTCCACGCGTCTCAATATTCCCAAGCTTATCCGAGCTTGTGATGAACAGCAGCATTGGAAGGAACTTACCTATTTGTACATCCAGTATGACGAGTTTGATAATGCTGCCACTACAATCATGAACCATTCCCCCGAAGCTTGGGATCACATGCAGTTCAAAGATGTTGCAGTCAAAGTTGCTAATGTGGAGTTGTATTATAAGGCTGTTCACTTCTACTTGCAAGAGCATCCTGATCTTATCAACGACCTGCTCAATGTGCTTGCTCTGCGTGTGGACCATACACGTGTTGTTGACATTATGCGAAAGGTATTTGTGGGATTGTTTCTGCTTAAATAAGCTGAGTTTATTTTCACAGCTATTAACATAATGACGATATGTATAATCTTTGTTATTTCAGGCTGGTCATCTGCTCCTTGTGAAGCCATATATGGTTGCAGTTCAGAGCAACAACGTTTCTGCTGTGAATGAGGCTTTGAATGAGATTTACGTAGAGGAGGAGGACTATGAGAGATTGCGTGAATCAATTGATATGCATGATAACTTTGATCAAATAGGCCTTGCTCAGAAGGTGAAGTGCAGCTATTCAACATTGTGGGATCTTGTTTGTGGGTCAATGTCAGAATTTTTAACCCTTTTTTAATGGTTTGAACAGATTGAGAAACATGAGCTTTTGGAAATGAGACGTGTTGCTGCTTATATATACAAGAAAGCTGGCAGATGGAAGCAGTCTATTGCACTGTCAAAGAAAGACAACCTTTACAAAGATGCCATGGAGACAGCCTCGCAATCTGGTGACCGTGAACTTGCTGAGGAGTTGCTTGTTTATTTCATTGAACAGGTAGTTGATCCATGCTGTAGTACTATTGCTTTTTAATTTAGGCATATTGTTTCAGTTTAAGAGTGTTACCATACACTTCCAAAGATATCATCATTTAAGTGATGGATTATAATTGGGTACTGCTTGACTATGAACCATAGCACTTCCTGATGATGCTTCTTAAGGGCCTGTCAAGCTTAAAATTTGTGGTGGTGCTTATGGTGTAGAGGATTTGGAATGTGGGCTTTTTGTTAGATATGGCTACTTGTATTTAGAGCTTGTTCTCTGGGGTTATGATTTTGTTTCTATAGGAAGCGATATTTAATTATTTATGGTTAATTTGGTGAATGTGATTTAATCTTTGTATTGCTATTATTGCAGGGAAAGAAGGAATGCTTTGCATCGTGCCTCTTTGTTTGTTACGATTTGATTCGTGCCGATGTTGCTCTTGAACTTGCCTGGATGAACAACATGGTTGACTTTGCCTTCCCATATCTGTTGCAGGTGATTCCCATGCTTAATGCTAATTATGTTATCATTGTCATAATTATAGTGGATTACTTTGAATGGATTGTCGCATTCATTGGTTTTGACAAAGCTGTGATGATTAGCCCAGGCTTGGCTCACCAATCACTTGGAGTTCTCAATTTGGTTTTGATTTGTCCATTATTTTCTCTCATCTTCGTATCTTTTTCCTCGCAGTTTGTCCGTGAATACACAGGCAAAGTTGATGAACTTGTGAAGGACAGAATTGAGCAGCAAATTGAAGTCAAGACTAAAGAGAAGGAAGAGAAGGACGTAATTGCACAGCAGGTAATATAACTTGGAAACCTCTAATTTATTTATTGCCTTTTCAAGCCAATGCTTGTGTTATTTAATTGATTTGATAATTTTCTGTTATTTGATTTATGTGATAATTTTCTGCTGCAGAATATGTATGCTCAGTTGCTGCCTCTTGCTTTGCCTGCACCACCAATGCCTGGTATGGGAGGAGGGCCATCAATGGGAGGAGGTTTTGCGCCACCACCACCCATGGGTGGCATGGGAATGCCTCCAATGCCACCTTTTGGCATGCCTCCAATGGGTAGCTACTAACTTGGCGGTTGTAGTGAAAATTAGGAGTGATTCCTCGGTGGTTGGAGAGAGAGAATGACCGCAGCAGCAGGTTATGGCTTTCCATTGAGTGGTGTTTCCGCAGGCATTGAAGCCGTCATTGGTTTTTTGTGTTCCTTTGTCTTATGGTGAGGGTCTAGTCGAAATAACATGGCATTTTTTTGTATTAGGTGTGTGGATATGTGTTGTAATATTTTTTTTTGGGTAGCAGAGGCATTTTTTGGCTGCTGTAGAGAGTATGCCGAGGATTTCCTGCTTTGTACTATTTTTCTTGAGGTCCAAAATTGACCCGGATTATATATGTCAAACTACTCGGTGCAGGATAAGTGCCAATTAGATATGTTCTGCCGTTGTTTTTAATCTTAATTTTCTCTCAAATTATACGCTCATTGGATTGTATGCTGATTTATATTTGTTATCCTCTGTAAATATTGTCTTATTTTTTAAGGTGGTTTTTGGTTGAAGGCTGAAATATCCCAATTTTGCACCCCATTTCTGGAAAATAAAACGAGGTTTCTCAAATACCGTTTGTTCATGCAAATTTATGTAATGATAATTTTTTCTTAATTGAACAAAGAATAAATTTGCCCATAGGTTTTAAAATAAGGTTTTTGTTATATTGAGGTTGATGGGGAAATTTTAGAATACAACATAAATCAATGAGTTACTAGTTTGATCATCCAGTAATTTCTTTGTTACTGATATGGTTAAAGCTTTTATTTATTTATGAGGTTAATGATACTGTTTTAAAACCTGGACCGGAGGGTAACCCGCTCCGCTACCCGGGTCACGAGTCAACCGGTCCAGCCGGTTGGACCGGTGATGTCAGCACAAAACAAAAAAAACCTGTTTTATTTATTTATTTATTTTAAGATTTTTATTTTTTAATAAGACAATAATAACTTAAATACCCAACATGATTCAAAGTTCAAATTCAATAACAATCCTAACATAATTTAAGTATTTAACAAAAATCCAAATATAATGTTTTGTTCATCTTTATCCATTACATATTAAATGACAAAATACATAATAATTAAGAACAAAACATTTGGTGCAAGTGTTTTTTCTTTGATCCGTCTCCATGTTGATTGAGCTTCACACACTAACATCAAAATTCATCATCATCATCACCATCATTATCATCATAACCATCATAACCATCACCATCATCTACATAAATTTCAGTAAAAAAAAAACTAAAAATTGGTACGCAAAGCTTACAGAATTAATATGGAAACCAAAACTGATTATTGCAATATGCAGAATTTCAATTAAATGAAACAAGAGGATTATTAACATGCAAGCTGCATAAATAGCAGGCTATTATCAATACTAAAAAGTCTAAAATCTATAATGTACTAAAGATCAAACATGGAGGACGTATAAACTTAAACTAATTCAATAAAAGATCAAGTTCAAAAGTCATCTTATGCCCGAACGCTTTTAGGAAGGCTATTAAACAATTCATGTCATCTCGGAAGAAGGTAAGTTAGGATCTAACATTTTCTCTGATATGCACAGACACACACACAATGATAAATACACAGATTTATAATCATTATTGAACTCGTGAATGGTGTGTTTATTACCTGGATCGAAGAGGAATGGAGTTGTCGTCGTCGTCGAGGAATGAAGCTGTTGTCGTCGATTTTCAGCAAGGAATGGAGCTGTCGTCGTGGTGGAATGGAGCTGTCATCGTCGATTTCTAGCGAGGAATAGAGCAGTTGTTGTCGTTGTCAATTTCCGGCAAGGAAGGAAGGCGTCGTCGTCGATTTCAGAGAGTTCAGTTGCGATTGACACAATGGTTAATGGTTGCGATTTTAGACTTCAGAGAGTGGAGTTCATTGAGATTGAGTGCCGATTTGAGTGGGAGTTTCAAAGGAATTTGTGTAGAGAAACTGAGAAATTTGAGATACAGAGAAAGTGAGATTGTGAGAAATGGAAAGATGAAAGAGTTAGGGATATTTTTCCCCTTTTCAACATTGGACCGGTACCGATAGTTCACACATTTTTCCCGATTTAATGACGGTTTAAAATGGCTTATTGTATAATAGCAGATTTAATATTGACTCAAACCGGACTTATGACCAGGTCCCGATCCAACCGATTGGACTGGCCGGTCCAGTTCGGTTTTTAAAACAATGGTTAATGGACACCTTTGTTGTGCATATAAAAAATGCTTTTTTTTTTTTCTTTTTACTATATTTTGAAAAAAGTAACTAAAGCAAATTTTTTTTTTTTTTTCAATCAAAGTGTTTGGGTTAATTTACGTGCACCTCGATTGATTCTCTAAGACTAACAATTTAACATAATAACCCATTACCATGACCTTTCACTTGAATCGTGAATACTTATATGTATAGGAACATGATTCTAAGTAACTAATCCTCTAGACGTCTAAGGTCTAGTACAATAACCTACTATCATGGTCTTTCACTTAAATTGCAGATGCTTGTATGCTCTGCAACACGATTATATGTAAATCATTAAATTGAATTAGTTAGGAAGATGAAAGCATAAAATTCTCTAAAATAATAATAATAATAATAAAAAAATTAGCATTCTCTATATAAAGTATAAACTACCAAGTATAAACTTCTGTATCTCCCTCAAGGTCTCAACCAAAATTGTAACCTTGCTTTGATTCATGTGTAATTGTGCATCACACAATTTGCAAAGGTCCTTAAACTTAGGAGTGTTCGGTTCCGGGTACCCTGCACTTTTGAAGGAATCAGAACCGCAATCGACGGTTCCTTGAAATTTGGAACCAGAACCAGAACCGAAACCGACGGTTCCGGTTCCTAGGTACCCAGAACCAAAACCTGTAACAACGGTTTCGGTTCTTGTTTTGGGTACCCTGTAAAATTTATGACCCCACAAAAGTTTTTAAAATGGCAAAAAAACCCTTAAAAACTTACAAATACCCCCCCACCTGGCACTTGTTAACAAAAATAAAATTACAAATTATAAATTCAAAATTCAAAATTACAAACTCCATTACTTTGTAAAGGTAGATTCTCAAAAGTCAAACCAACTTACTTTAAATGTTATGAAATATAAATATAATTGTATTCATATTACTTTTTCTACAAAAGTTTTTATTAACCCCCCTAATCTTTAATTTTATTTTATATTAGTTTTGGTTCCAGGTTCCTGGTTCCGGTTTTGGTTCCTAACTATAGGAACCAGAACCGGAACCGCACAGTAACGGTTCCAAAAATTTGGAACCGGAACCTACCCATTGACGACTGATTCTGGGTAGGAATCGAACCAAACCCAGGGTACCCGCCGGTTCCGGTTCCAACCGGTTCTTTTGAACACCCCAACTTAAACTATATAAGGAAAAAGGAAAAAAGGGAGAATGACATTTTCCCACCCAAGGTTTGGAGAAATGACACCTTCTCACCCTTCAAGTTTCAAAATGACACTTTCCCACCCTTCGTTATGTTTTGTTATATTTTCCGTTAACATTTTACTGAAAAGACAAAAAAATACTTAAATATTTGATTTCATAATTTTTTTTATTATTTTTAATTAGCTAAAAAGGCAAAAAAGAAAAAATAGTTAATCCCACCTAAAAAATTAGGAGTAATGCTATGGAATTGTTTAAAGTTTATTGACTTTAATATTTATTTATTTATAATGTTATTAATATCCTATCACTATTATTTAATAATCTACTAAATTTATAATGTTTTTCATAATATAATATTTTTTATTTTTACTAATTAATATAGAAAATCAATATTCTTAATTAATTAATTAAATAAACAAAGAAAAAAAAATATCTTTATACGTGAACTAATAAATAATCAACTAATTAAGAAATAAACCATTTAAAGGTATTTTTATATTTTCAGTCAAATATTAACGGAAAATATTAACATAACCTAATGAAGGGTCGGCAAGTGTCATTTTGAAACTTGACGGGTGGGAAAGAGTTGTTTCGCCAAACCTTGGGTGGGAAATTGCCGTTCTCCCAAAAAATAAATAAAATTACAGATCTAGTAACATTTGGTTGCGATCTTTCCTTCAATTTCTTCCCATCCTAACTATGGCTTATACAATTCTCATATGGTCTCTAATCTCAGCTATCTTAGCCTCAATTTTGATCTTGGCTTCACACATAATCAATGCTAGGAAAAACAGGAACAAGACGGCCGTCGGCTTCTTCCATCCCTACACAAACGACGGTGGAGGCGGAGAGAGAGTTCTATGGTGTTCAGTCAAAGCTATTCAAGAAGAAAATCCCGATCTTCACTGTATCATCTACACTGGCGACCACGATGCCACGCCCCAAAACTTGATGGCTCGTGCCATCGATCGCTTCGGCGTCAAGCTCCTTCACCCTCCCAAGGTTCGCTTTTACATATTATCGGTTTGTGTTTAATTGTTTTTATTTTATGTAATCAAATTATTGGGAGCAAACTGAGTTAATTTTAGATTAACATGAGAAAGAATTTGTTCAAGCTCAGTTTTAATTAGCATTTTTTGGTTAGCGTATAGCTAGTTGTACATTCATCCTCTTTCTGAGTCCACCAGTAAAATCAGTAGTCGTGCTTTACTGAATGAATAATACAATGAAAAAAAAAATCGNCGATCTTTCCTTCAATTTCTTCCCATCCAAACTATGGCTTATACAATTCTCATATGGTCTCTAATCTCAGCTATCTTAGCCTCAATTTTGATCTTGGCTTCACACATAATCAATGCTAGGAAAAACAGGAACAAGACGGCCGTCGGCTTCTTCCATCCCTACACAAACGACGGTGGAGGCGGAGAGAGAGTTCTATGGTGTTCAGTCAAAGCTATTCAAGAAGAAAATCCCGATCTTCACTGTATCATCTACACTGGCGACCACGATGCCACGCCCCAAAACTTGATGGCTCGTGCCATCGATCGCTTCGGCGTCAAGCTCCTTCACCCTCCCAAGGTTCGCTTTTACATATTATCGGTTTGTGTTTAATTGTTTTTATTTTATGTAATCAAATTATTGGGAGCAAACTGAGTTAATTTTAGATTAACATGAGAAAGAATTTGTTCAAGCTCAGTTTTAATTAGCATTTTTTGGTTAGCGTATAGCTAGTTGTACATTCATCCTCTTTCTGAGTCCACCAGTAAAATCAGTAGTCGTGCTTTACTGAATGAATAATACAATGAAAAAAAAAAAAAATCGTTGAAATTTGATTAAAAGAAATCATTTTTAACACTTCAATGATATGTGTGCTTAGAAAAAGGGGTTTGTAGATTTATGATCTGTTCCTTTGGCACTAGTTAATATATAATTCATCTTAATAATGAAGTATATACTATGATTTCTATTTCTGTTTGTATGTCTTCTGTTTTTACTTTTTTTTTTAATTGCAGGTGGTGCATCTTTATAGAAGGAAATGGATTGAAGAGAGTACTTATCCTCGGTTCACAATGGTTGGACAAAGTTTTGGTTCAGTTTATCTTTCATGGGAAGCTTTGTGCAAGTTTACACCTTTATATTATTTTGATACTAGTGGATATGCATTTACGTATCCACTTGCTCGGATTTTTGGCTGCAAAGTCATTTGCTATACGCATTATCCTACTATAAGTTTGGACATGATATCCCGTGTTCGTGAACGGAACTCAACGTACAACAATAATACCTTAATTGCTCGAAGGTCAGATTCGCTTTGATGAAATTATGGTTTCTTTTGTTTGTGTGTGTCCTTGATTGTGAAGTAGTGTAATTTAGAATACAACGATGCTGTACTGATTTGAAAATGGCCCCTCATACCATTGACTTTTGCAAAGGGGTCTGGGGATGTTAAAAAGTTTTTAACTTTTGTGTTGGTCATAGTATTAACTTGAACTCAATGGCCCCTCGTGAATCCATTTTATTCTTTCACATCCACCTTCAAAACACACACAAGCACTTGCCTTTGGAGATTGATGATTTGCGGATGTTGGTGCATCCTTGTGGTCTGTAGGTCTTGTAAATTTAGCATGTTTGTTCTGAGCGGCATAATAGATCTTCTATGTTTCTTCCTAGCTAGCTCAGGGATGTTGAGTAGAATTTGGTTGCTGACTGTACTCTTTCTCTTTTCATCTCGAACCTAATGTAGTATTCTCTTATGGCAGCCGTTGGCTATCCCACTGCAAAATTTTCTATTATACATTATTTTCTTGGATGTATGGGTTTGTGGGCTCTTGTACGCACTTGGCAATGGTAAACTCTTCATGGACTCAGTCTCATATTGAAAAGCTATGGAGGATACCGGATCGTATAAAGCGAGTCTATCCTCCTTGTGATACTTCTGGACTTCAGGTTTGTGCCTTTTTCTATTTGTGGTTGATTAATTCCTAAGAATCAATTAAATGTGTGTGCTTGAGTATTTTAACAATTTCGTCTTACCAAGTTTACTGTTTAGCAAATCATCCGATGTTCATTGGTTCCGATGCAACATAATATCTTAACTAGTTGTTCAATTGTCTGATTGCTCACATTATAAGAATGTTTGTCATCACCTACAATGTACATTATAAGTACACATGTAAGATTGGCTACAATTTTATTTCTCAGTATATTGGCATAGGTTTTTTTCTTTTTCAGTATTTTATTTTCTTCCCTTTGTAAATAATTTTATTGAGGCAAAAACCTATGGTTTCTTATAAGTTGAAGTCTAAACAGGTACTTCCTTTGGAAAGACCAACAGAATCTCCAAACATAATTTCTGTTGCTCAGTTTCGTCCAGAGAAGGTGGGCATGTAAAACTTACAAGCACAAGGTATTGCTGTTATAGTGGCTCATATTTGGGGCCTTTACACAATAATCCTTTATTAAATTATTTGTGTTGATCAGGCACATCCTCTTCAACTTGAGGCCTTTTCTCTTGCCATAAGAAAATTAGATGCAGACTTGCCGCGGCCTAAGCTGCAAATTGTGGGTAGTTGTCGAAATAAATCTGATGAAGAAAGACTGCAGAACTTAAAAGACAAAGCGGTTGAACTGAAAGTGGATGGAGATGTGGAATTCCACAAGAATGTGATGTACAGGTCTGCTAATCACTTCATAATAATGTTTTTACGTGCAGATGACTTAATTCTTAAGATGTACCCCTCTGAAAACCTTGTAGCAAACATCCAAAAGATAACATCCTCTAGGTCATTGATTCTTGAGTTGCGTTGCATTCTCAGCTTTGTGGAATTCTTACAATTTGCAGGGACTTGGTGAAACTTCTGGGAGGAGCTGTTGCCGGAATCCATTCCATGATTGATGAGCATTTTGGCATAAGTGTTGTAGAATACATGGCTGCCGGCGCCATCCCCATTGGTTAGCATTTTAATTGATTTCTTCGTCAACTATGTTACATGCTCATTTACAGTATATGATAAATGCTTTTGTTTGCATTGTCTCTTCTCACAAGTGTTTCTCCTGTCTTCAGCTCATAACTCTGCTGGTCCCAGAATGGACATTGTTTTAGAAGAAGACGGACAGCCAACAGGATTTCTTGCCCAAAATGCAGAAGAATATGCTAGCGCAATCCTGCAAGTTGTAAGGATGCCTGAAACTGAGAGACTCAAGATGGCAGCAGCCGCAAGGCAACGAGCTGGCAGATTTTCCGAACAAAGATTTTACGAAGATTTCAAGGCTGCAGTACGACCAGTTTTATGTCATACTGACAAATGAAGGACAAATACAACCGTAACCAACTTGTAACTTAAACCTTGTCATTGAAATTTGGCTAACTACAAATTTTGATCTAACTTTTCACCCTTAAAAGATGGCTCTCATTTTGGGTACTTGATTCTGCTTTCAATTTCTCCAAGAGATGTGATTTATTATTTTCCATGTCAGTTTAAATCAGTCCGCCCAAACTAGTTTCTTAATAATCCAATTGAATCAGGGTAGCTTGTTTGTTTGTTTTTTCTTTTGATGTTCGGTCAGTTTGCGTGCACCTTTTCAGTACTCTAAAGTGAAGGGTAAGATAAATCTTCCAATTACCCCTATTTGGAACTTAAAACCTTTTAACTAATATCTAAGGGTTTTTATCTCTCCATCGGACTACCTTAGGGCGATTAGCTTGTTCAATTATAATGGAAGTGGTTTTTGAGGCTAGTTTTTTAATTTATTGGGGCATGTGATGAGATGCGTAGGGAGGCACCGGGCCAGGGCAGGGGCTTTTATATTTTCTTTTATTTAAAATAGAGAAATGAAAAAGGGCAAATCTTTTGGCGCAAAAGTCAAAAAGAAAAAAGTTATAATGGTGGCAAATAAGAAAACGCCACGTGGCGTGTAAGCAACTTTCAAAGCTCATCTCCTTCACTCAGTGCCACAAACATTTCTCTCTGTCTCTCTCTCTCTCTCGCGCCCTCACACTGTCTCTTGATATGGTTGGACCTTAAACCAACCAGAAGATGGCCATCTCTCTTAATTCAATCGTCGGCTTCAGCGCTCCGGTAAACACTATACTTTTCTCTTTTTATTGTTCATTTCCTTTTCGTTTAAATATTTTTTCCCGAGTTCTATAATTTACTCGTGTAAGTTTTAATAGTATGTAATTCATGAGAACCAATAAGTGAACTATCGATTACTGTTTGCTGGTAAGAAGTCTTTAGTTTTCATTTTATTTGGTAATTCGTTGTGGTTTCAGCTCCATTCGCATGTTGAAATTTCAAGAAGCTGTGGTAATTTAATGCTTGTGTAATAGTTAGGTTATACTGTGGTTAAATTATAGAGCTTTTTAGAAGGAACAAGGAAAGGTTACATTCTAGAGTGGTGTCTCTTATAACGACTATTAGTTTGTGAGGCAATTGTTCAACTTCTATCAAAAGATTTCCGAGGGTATTAATGTTCCATGTTTTCCATTAATCTCGTGTACTTCCAATCCTGCTGAATGAATTTCAGATTTTGTAATGCCATTGATGCCTTTTGTCTTGATGAGAATCTTCAGTTGAAGTTCCTGTGAAATTTTTGATGCAATATTTTAAACTATTTAGTCTTTCGGATAGAGAATATTGAAGATGGGACTTCTAGTGTTTAAATTAATTACATGTAAGATTTATTGATAGATAATGGGAAAGACGCATCTTGCATCAAATCGAAACGAAGACACTGCATTTTTGGAATATTTTATCAGTTTCTGATCAATCTTAAAGAGTCCTAGAATTTGTTTTCAACCATGATAAGAATGTGGAGGTTCCAGAGACCACAATAAGAAGCTTTGGTGTTGATATATATTGTTTTGAAATAGCTTTTTCTAGACATACCTTGTTGACTGTTATCCCCCTTAATTATTTAAAACTGTGTTTCTCTATTAAAAGTTGCTTTTGAAATACCAGCACGTGTCAAGATCTTCTATTAGAGCTGCTGCACAAAGGCTCCAGTTCACTTCCCCCTTGAGCATAAAGAAAAGAAGATTGGGCTTGTGTCTTTCAGTTGCAGATGGAGATCGTCTTGCCACTGAAACTAGTAAAGAGGGTTCTGGAGATTCTGAAAGATCCTTTTCTAATAATCAAGTTTCGGCTGTGAATACCTCGTCTTTGGATTCTCCTGGGGTGAATAGCACACTCAAATCCAGTGTCGATGATTCTGGGCCTCAAGCCTCTGAGGCTGCTAATGGTTCAGTGGTATCTTCAGATCCAAAGCTGGATGGATCATCATCTCCTACCGTGCAATCTGCGCCAAAAAGATCACCACTAACAGCAAGGGAGAGACTAAGGGCAGCCCGGGTTCTTAGCCGTTACAATGAAACAAAGGCTTCTAAATCAGTAATGGGCAGTAAGGTATTAGATGCTTTGAAGGAAAGTGATCGGGGAAAGAAAAAGAAAAGATCAGGCCTTCCTGAGGCCCCTACAAATTTGCTCGATGACAGCAAGAGAGGGATGCCGAAATCGGGCCTGACTTTTGAGTTTCCAGGGGGCGCAGATCTCTTTATTATTGCCTTCTCATTCGTTTTTATCAGCACAGTAATGTTTGCAACAACATACATTGTTTGGAAAGTTGGTGCCATCCATTTCAATGAGTACTAAGGTGGAGGGTAGTAGGATTTTGCATTTTTTGGAAGATCGGAATCCAATTTTAGTTTCAGGTGATTTAGATATTCATCTTTCGCATGGCTAGAATCTCTTTTAGACAAGATATACACGATGTACAAAGAATTACTTGGCCAATATTTATATGTCAGTGTTCAGCTTTTTTCTGATTGCTATATTTGGGTAGTTTTTAGCATTGAAATCTTTTTCCCCACTGGGTTACAATTGGATTTCCTCTCACGTCTAAATACATGTTAATATCTCCCGTTAGCAGTGTTACATAAAGAATTTATAGATGCAGCTATTCTTCTTTTGCAAGAAAAGTTCTTGAAAATCCCTACACAGCAACACTGGTTCAGTTTTTTTTTTTTTTTTTTTTTCCCCCTTTAATTATTAGATGAGAAAATTGAGGATTGTTACTGCACTTCTTGAGGATATTCTTCATGATTTCCATGTGGTCTTGTTTATATTTAGTAATTCACTACATTTTGACCCAGTCCTGCAGTGGAAATATGAAAGTCTAATTTCTTGGGGCCGCTCTGGGTAGTGGGTAGTTTTCCTGTGATTAGGAGTTAATAAGCAACTTCTAGTTGTTTTGCCGGTGTGACTGTAGTCTATTTTCATCATCTTGTTGCTTTTCAAAAAATTTCGTTTTCTAATATTAATGAAGGAAGAGCCAATAGAGGGTTGTTGTATTGTAGTTTATTAGTTATTCTTTGGACTTGGCATAAAGTGTTTTCAATTGCTTGTTTACTTCTCCTACCTTTTACTTATATGATGTGTAAGTGTGTTAATTTGATGGCCTTCTATAGTTATCATCTTTGTCATATTTCATCATGATTGTGCTCTAATTATCACGTACTGATTGTCTGCAAACTGCAAGTTGTTTACATGATGTGATTGATGTCTGCATAAACAGTCTGCTTGGCTTCGCAGATCATTTATGGGCCGCTGGAGCATGATTTATGCCGTGTTTTGTGTTTTAGTTAATACATCTTCATCATCTTTGAAAAATATACCAATTATCAAGTACAGAGTCTTCCAAGTTGAGCCATTAAATTGTTCAGAAAACACGTTGTGTGTTTAAGTCACATGCTTATTGTGGGCGCTTGCCGACTATACAAATCTTGCCAATCTTTTCAAGCAAATGGGGTAGAGAAGGAGATAAAGATAAAGAATTATTGATAGTCTTTGGATCCTGATTAGGGAGAACTTGGCTGAGTGGTTGATAAGAGGTCGTGTCAATCTTTAAAGTTCTTTATGGTGAGTTACAATGTTTGAGTGTGACCAGGGCCCTATCAGAACCAAACTGTTTATTGTAATTGAAGCCTTCTTGTTTGCTTGTGTTGGACACTTGAAAGACTTATCTTAAGCTTGAGCAAAAGAAAGTGGACAAGAAAAGCTACCATAATGAGTGACCTCATTGCATATCATCTTCATATCATTTCTTCAAATGCAATCGTTTTTTACTGCTACACCAAAGCAACTGCAGTAAAAAATCTTATGGGATTTAAGCATAATTGAAATATGAACATGGGTTTACAGAAATTAATGATATCTATATTTAAACTAAAGGCGAAAATTACCCTTTTTACCTTTTTAAGCACTTTTATCCACACAAGTACTTTTACTTTCTATTCATTCTGAAGTTACCAAAATAAAAAATTCCATATTGAGACTTACAGCCGGATAGAGCCGAAACCAATTTTCTTTTGACCAATTAAAAGTAACTAGATATCACACCAATCAACATCAAGACATGAAGATCACACATTATTGGTGCAAAAACAGTAGCTCAAGATGCCTGATAAAAGCTGAGATTTGATAGAGTTGCAGTTAGATTCTACAACTTTCTTTCTTTGTTAGTTGAAGATGGAAAACAGTTATAATAATTCTTGTTGGCCTGAACCCTCCAATTTGGCGAACTTCAGCTTTTCACTCAACAATGAATCTTCCTTTGTAGCCCCATGGCAGCAGTTTCATGAATTTCCTCCCCAATTCTCAGCCTCTAACTCAACCCAGTTTCATGAATTTCCTTCATGGTCCAATCCAGTTCCCGAAGATCGATCCACAACTGCTTCCAAGAGTCACAGCCAAGCCGAAAAGAGGCGCCGGGACAGGATCAATGCACAGCTTGCAACTCTTAGAAAGCTAATTCCCAAGTCTGATAAGGTAATTTATCTCTATTGACTATGCATATATATATATATATGTTCACAGTTTCTTGAGACCAACTGGGAAACCAGTAAAACCTCCAAAAGTTGCCTTACAATTTGAAGGATCTAGCCAACGTTTGCAAGTTGTTAGCCTGTATTTGAAGTCCGGATTTAAGGTCTCGACATGGGAAAATTTATGTTTTAATCTATGAATCTGAACATGTGCAGATGGACAAAGCGGCACTACTGGGGAGTGTGATAGAACATGTGAAAGATCTGAAGCTAAAAGCAATGGAAGTCAGCAAGGCATTCACAATACCAACAGAAGTAGATGAAGTTACTGTTGATTATGATCTTGCACAATCTGCAAACCCCACCAATATTAATAATGTCAACAAAAGCAAGAACAGTATTTTAATCAAGGTTTCTGTGTGCTGTGAGGATCAACCGGAACTGCTCAGAGAACTCATCAGAGTTCTCAACGGCCTCGGACTCTCCACAGTTCAAGCTGATATCGCCACTGTAGGAGGAAGAATCAAAAGCATCTTGGTACTTTGCAACAAAGATAGTGATCAAGAAAGTGTTCCTTTAAACACTTTAAAACAATCACTTCTCTTAGTTTTAAGTAGATTGTCTTCTGCATCTATGGCTTCAAACTTTCGCATTAGAAGCAAAAGGCAGAGGTTGTTCTTGCCTTCTCATTTCTCCGAATAAATACATAATATTAGATTTCTCAAAGTTTACCACTTTGCTCTATCAATGTCCATCACATAATTCTGCAAAATTTTTAGGATGACACGCACCAGCCGACTGGGCATGTGCAATTATGTTTTGTTTCCTCGGAGGGAACTTTACTTTTCCTCATCAACATCCCGGTATAGAATGTGCACATGACCTGCAATTCTCTTCCTCCATTTGTATGATTAAAGTTTCTAATGCTAGCCAACTGGGTATTGTTACAGTTCTGTCACATTTATTTGGTCCGACCATACTGGGGTTAGCCTTTGTTGATGTTTGATTTTGACACGAACGATTCACACGTGTAAAGTGTTAAGCGGACTTAGAAATTATATGTGATGAATTCAAGAAATTTGAATATGATGCTGAAACATAAATAAAAGATTAGCAAGAGGAGTTTTTATAGTGGTTCAGGTGCGTAAAGCGAATCCTACATCCACTGTTATTTTACTATTCTCTGACTGTTTCTATGATATTGCCCGTAAGACATACAAAGATAAAGAAAAATTTGTTTACAGAGAAAAATAATAAAACTCAAATCTATGTCTATCTCTCGTATGTCCAACCCCCCTTTTAGTGAAGAAAGGTGCTCATTTATACGCCTTTTAGATTAATGTAATGAATGTTTTAACAAGTTACCCTGACACATAAGGATCATTTCTTAATTTTTATCTTTTTATTTTAATAAAGATAAGATAGGTATACGGTCCTCATCTATTCATAGATAAAACTTGATTCTACTGAATTAGTAACAACTGTATCTTTTCTATCTTGAGACTACGTGGTAACTCTTAAACGATATAAACACTTTCTAAATTTTGATTGGTTGGTGCTAATATAAGTACGATTTTTAAAGGCACAACAACCCTACTCCTTAGTACTGAACATGTATTAATGACATTGACAATAGATTTCTCACATATTTATTATAAGCGCATGAAACTCACCTTAATTAATTCCAAATCCTGCTACCTTCTCAGTCTCAACTCAGCTCGGGTACACTCACTGACAGATTATTAATTAAAAATATCATTAACCAAATTAAGATAAAACATAGTTTTTCATAATTATCTATAATTAATATATAATATTTAGTTATCAGTTAAGGCTGACCAAATATTTAACGGCAATAAATGCCGTTACGATCCGTCAACTCTCTCTCTCTCTCTCTCTCCCGTTCTTCGCCAAACTCCCGTAATATCCGAGTTCAGTTGTTTGACACTTCTTCACCTAACCGATGCCCGTTACATCTCCTTCTTACGTCACCGTTTTCTTTCTTCTTTCTTCATTTATTTTTTTTGAACCTACCGGATAAGATAAGAAGCCTAACTGCCACAGTTTCGAAGCTCTCGAATCTGAGCCGTTGATTCAACAAATATAAAAATTTCCGTTATTCTCAATCAGTTCAGTTATACACCCCACGTAAGTTACTATCAACGGAAAACGAAGCGTTAAATTTTATAAACTCCCTTCTTGTTTGAGAAATGTCATTAACCTCGCCATTTTAATCTTCCCTTAATAAGGGCTATTTTAGAAGAAAATGAAACGTCAGGGGAGCTAAACGAATTGACCAAAAAATGAAAATTGAAACAGAAACAAACGCGCTTATAACTTGCAAAGTCGTTATTTCAACGCAGCGGTTTTACGGTTCACGCCAACAACCCCTTTCAAAACGGTTAAACCCCATCTTCTTATAAGCCAAGATCACCACCAACAACACCAGAAGAAATTAGAGAAATAAACAGATAGAATTTTAGTTAATTAATTCATTTTTTTTTTTCTTTTTCATTTCGTTTTTTCATGTCCATGGACTTGATGATGAACTCTAGTTCCAGTTCTATGAACAAGTCTAATAATAACGATCGCATTAAGGGCTCTTGGAGTCCACAAGAAGACGCAAATTTGATCAAGCTCGTTGAGCAACACGGACCCAGAAACTGGTCCATGATAAGCTCCGGGATACCTGGACGTTCAGGGAAATCGTGTCGATTACGGTGGTGCAATCAGCTGAGTCCGACGGTGCAGCATCGGCCGTTTACACCCGCGGAGGACTCCACCATTATCCGAGCACATCGTGTACACGGCAACAAGTGGGCCACCATCTCCCGGTTGTTGCCTGGTCGTACGGACAATGCGATTAAGAATCACTGGAACTCGACTCTACGTCGGAAGAGGGTGAGTGCGTTATCGTCAGCGTCGTCGGAGTCGAACTCGGTGATGAAGCGTGGGGTGAGTGTGGAGAATTATGTGGAGTCGGATTCTGACTCAGGGGTGGTGAAAAAACAATGCGTGCGTGTTTCGCAGGAGGTGATAGTTACGAGTGGGGCCGGAGGCGTTGTTGACGTTGTCGCCGCCAGGGGAGAGTGTGGTGTTGGAGGCTGGCGGAGAAAAATGGGAGAATTACGGCGGTGAAAAGAACAAAGAGGGAGGTGAAAAGGAAGTGAAGACTATGAAGGGAATGAGGACAGGGGTGTGGTGGAGATGGAGTATCTTGTTTCTTGAACATCATGCAGCGTATGATAGCTGAGGAAGTCAGGAGTTAGTGGATAAATTACGGGCTGAAGGATCCCAGGCTCCCAGCTAGCGATGGTCAAAAGATCCATAAAGAATTTTCAGCTTCCTTTTTTTTTTTTTTTTTTTTTCTCTGTTGCTTCTTTTGACTGTGACTCTGCTCTGGGCAATCAAATTTTCACTACTACTAGTTCTGATTAGGAGTTGCAGATTTTAGCATAGTTTTGGCCTTAGATTCGTGTTTCCCCTTTTAGTTTAAGAGTGAAACATCAGCTTTTAGCCTTTAAAACGTCTACAAATTGTGTTAGGCTCAATGGTGTTACCAGGTGATCAGTACTCTGATCGGAACTGAAGGCTCAAAATATGTAAAATTCCTGCCTCTTGTTACGAATCACTTCTGACATGGTTACCCAAATGGAAGCACTTGGGAACATATAAAATTCAGTTAATTTAATCACAAATATACTCTTTTATCTTTGTTACAAAATAATTCAGTCGCTGTTTTAGTATGGCTAATATGCAGGTACAAAAATACTTGGTATATCAATAAACAAAACTTCATATTCATTGTAATACGTTGATTTTATCAAAGCTTTATACAAAACCTGAAACATTCTGCTAATAAATGACCATTCACCATTCAATTATTTTACATCAAGCCGGCGATCTACACCAAACTACAATTAAGCATTCACATTCTAGAAAGCATGAACCAGAGTGTCACTGAGAAGCACAAGCATGAACTGACCTGATTTGAGAGTTTAGAACCAGAAGCGGCCATCTATCAGTGGCACTGAAGCAAAACCCTTCCAGACTAATTTAACTCCTCAGATACTAAAGCTTCAAGGTGAAGGGCAATTCAAAATACAAAGAATAAGACTGAACCCCCCAAGGATGAGCAATATACTACATAAAACACTAAATGATTTCACTTAATTTAAGGAATCACAAACCCTAAATCTCTTATTTCCCATTACTTTAACCCATGACAAAACAAAGAGGTAAACCTAAATCCCCATTTCCCACAGCTTGAACTTCACGAATAACAGGCAAGCAACCAACATAATAAGCTATAATAAAACTTCATTTACCTTCCATGAAAATGCTTATCCATCAGAAGCTCCAGTAACCATGATTCTAGATCCCAGAAGCTCAACTAAATAGAATAATTCATAAAATTGACATTCACACAGATAGCTAATCAATGGATTATAATGGTAACAATAGATTTGGAAGGCAATAAAGAGCTAGATAAGCAAAAGATAATCCCATTTCAAGTTAAATAATGGCGTTCACTTAATTCAACAAAATGTATCAAAACATAAAATCAAAAACAGATATCACTACTTAATCGACTCAACAAAAAAAGCAGCAAGAAATGACAAAAAGCGCCGCACTAGAGAAGACTTTACTTAGATCTCTGTCTCATCTTTCGGCGCTTCCTCTTCAATCTTCTCATACGCTTCTTCTTCCACTGTAAACAAATACAAAAAAAAAAAAAAAAAAGCACGAAAACCAGATTCAAAACGACTTCGTTTGAAGAACAAACTAATGAAGTTTAGATTAACTTGACTTAATCCATAATATTGAGACATCAAAAGATACATGAACTACAGATCGACTTACCTTAGCTCTCATGTGACAGGTTACCAAACTTAGGTCTTCACTCCAAAACCCTAGTTGCTCCAAGAGGCTGCGCTGATGATGTGAAACTTTGGATTTTAGGGCTTTGCGCATATTTATATGTAAAACCCTAGAAAGACTGGCGGTCAAAATCGAAATTTGGGCCCGACTCATTTTCTGATTGGGCTTCTTAAACCGGGGATTGACATTGGGCTATCCATTAATTTTGTCTTCAGCGTTGAATCATTTTGGATTGGGCTAACCCATTTGTTTTAACGGTGTCTTAATAGTTTATAGAGATGTAGAGAATACGCAATAATGTAGTTTGTAAAGCCTTCGATAATTACATGAAAATTGCAAATGAAATCTTTACTTTGAGTGCCGACGCCTTTTTTTTTTTTTTTTTTTTTTTTTTTTTTTTTTGTTTTTTTTTTTTGTGCATACCCAAGATTTACCGTAACGATAAGTTGGTACCCAAAAGGTTTTGAAACGACAAATAGGTACCTTCTGTCATGTTCTGTTACTGATTTCTGTTTATTAATAGTGAAAAGACTAAAATGCCCTTCAAAGTTTCAATTTTAGTTTTTTATAAATTTAAAAATATCTAAAAAACCCCCTAAGTTTGCTAATTTAATTAAACACCCCCATATATAAAAAGTTTGTTAAATAACAAAAACACCCCCAGTGCCAGATTCCAGCCACCATCGCCGGAATCTGGTCGGAAAACTACATTACGACACAGACCCGTCGGGTCTGTGTCGTAACGTGCCGATCTAGCCTTTTTCGGCCAGATCCGTGGCTGATCTGGTCGGAAAGGGCCAGATCTACTGCCAGATCTGGCCGTCAACGCTGCAGATGGAGTTTTGCGGCGTCGACGGCCAGATCTAGCCGTAGATCTGGCCTTTTCTGGCCAGATCAGCCACGGATCTGGCAGGAAAAGGCCAGATCGACGCGTTACGACACAGATCCGACGGGTCTGTGTCGTAACGCAACTTTCAGGCCAGATTCCGGCGGTGCCGGAATCTGGCACTGCAGGTGGCGGGGGTGTTTTTGTTATTTTACAAAATTTTATACATTGGGGTATTTAGTTAAATTTGTAAACTTAGGGGGTTTTTTAGAAATTTTTAAATTTATAAAAAACTAAAATTCAAACTTTTAAAGGCATTTTAGTCTTTTCACTATTAATAAACAGTAATAAACATAAACCACTAACAGAACATGACGAAATGTATCTATTTATCGTTTCAAAACCTTTTGGGTACCAACTTGTCATTATGACAAACCTTAGGTACGTGTAAATCGTTCTCCCTTACTTTGAGCAGTGAGAGCACCATTGTGTCGAAAGCCTTTAAAGAAAATTTAGGTAGAAGTTGGACACAACTCATGGGCAAATATGAATAGCAGAAGCTTGAATTAGATATTTCACATGTGCCGATGTCCCACAAACAGAAGCCTCCATACCTCTGAGATAAGCATCGCATTACTAATCGAGTTAGTTCACTGACCTAACTCACCTGCCAGCGATATTACATCAAGCAAGAAAAGATATATAAAAATAGAATCGGTCATAAATACAGTACAGATTCTCAGAAGGAAAGGTTGGCAGTTCTACTTAAAAATCCCACTCAAATTCTCCTTCCATACCTTCTATATAAAAATGCTTTGGCTCTTGAAATTAAATTTTAGATAATGTAATTTGGATGGATTAATGCTATATAAAATTATAATAACAATTGTAACTAGTATTCAGAAAACTACAAAATACTGTGAAAAGGAGAAATCAGCAATGTATAATACAGCCATACAAATTAAAAACACATAAATTAGAAAGAAAAACTATAGCCTCAAAAAGGGTTGATAGTGTTGTTTTTGTTCTCGTTGAACTTCTTGCTTGTGTTTACTGTGAGATGATGGAAGGGACAACTGAGTCAACCCGGAGAGAGTTCCTACAAAGTGGACAGCTCGAACGAGTGCTGAGCCACCTATCAACACACTCACCGTGATAAAAATGTCGACATTTGGGCAAAACCTTAAGCTTATCCCCGTCTTCAAACTCGCCAAGACAAATACAACACTCGTTATCTTCGTTTCCAACCGGGTTAATATCCGGCGTTGACTTCGACCGGTGCATGATTATCGGCAACGTGTTAATTGCCGTGGAGTCGAGTCCCTGGGACAAGGGTTGAGGCGCGTGAAGCGCGTTGGGGAGAGAGGGGTGAGTTAAACGACAGAGCCAGCGAGCGTAGAGGAAGAGGAGAGTGACGAGCAAAACGACGGCGAATATGACGATGATGAAGAACAAGGTACGTCCTCGAATTTCGAAGTTGTGGTCGTCGAGCTCTGTGTAGTGCCAGTGAAAGGGCTGCGAGTCTTGTGCGGTTGCCATTGAGATTTAACGGTGGCTATAACGGTGGCGGCATGGTGTTGTGCTGTGAAGGATTGTACCTTCTACGTGGTGGTAGTTGCTAAACGAAACTTGGATATGTGAGGGTCGTTATATACAGTTTGGAAGATGATAGAGTTACTAAAAAGTGTACGCTAAATTTATATACAGAATGATACAGAATGATGTTGATTAATATTAATTTATAATAAATCTAACGGTTAAAATTTTATTATACACAAATTTGATGAACACCATCAATAACTGCGAGATTACATATTACAAAATATCAGATCCAGTTGTGCTGGAGGAATTTGGAATTTTGGATATTTATATATAAGAAAGACGGAAAGCTACTCGCATATCGAGCGCGTGACAGATTATTGTTTTGGCGTGAATAGGAGAAAAAAAATTGTATATAGCATTCGGGATGTATCAGCCAAGTGATCACGAGTTTGAGTCGATAACCGGGATGATTCCTACAGTTTTTATTTAGTCAGTAATTTTGGGCATAAGTTAACTCAATACCCTTGATTATCCAAAAAAATATAAAACTTTTAACTATTATTATTTATATATATAGTGAAAACCTCAACTAATCCTTATGAGTTCTCCCATAACAACTTATCGTTATAACCTTTCAAATAAATTATGGATAAATGTATTATCTTTACAATCTGTGAGCGGAGAATTGAATTTAAGACTGTGGGTTGAAGTCATGCATAACCTCTTTGGTTCGCCCTTATCACTGTCATTAGGTGGATAGTTGTCTCACCGTCTCAATTTAGTAAGATGTTATGGTGTATATATACATAGTTGAGCTTCCTCTGTTCTCTTAAGTAAGTTTTTGAGAATGAGCCTTACCCAAGCCGTGTTTATTAATGAGAATTTCTAACGAAATTATACAAGTTTTCAACTAATTTTTATTTATTTAAATCTTATAGTTTTTAATATTACGAGTAAATTATTTATCAAGGATGTTAACTTAAGAGGACTGCCTCTTAAAACATGAGAACTTCTTCAAATAAAAACGATCAAATTCTTTTACTTTATATATATATATATATATATATATACAGAACTCATTGACAATTGCTTTAATATATACACCAAAAAAATAAAAAAATAAAAGGGCTTTTCGTTAGAAATTTTATTATTAAATTTCTTAATCATCTGGCTAACTTTTTACCAGATAATTAAGAAAGACATCTAACTTTCCCACTTTAAATAAGCTGCAATTAGAGACAAACACTATATCAATTTATGCAGGGTATTAATTAATCAGAAAGCCAATAATCATAAAAAGGGTCAGCGTATAGTTGCAAATCAAAACTCAACAACTCCTACAAGAGCTAGTGGAAGTTCAAGTTTCCCAACTCAGAAATCATAATTTGCCACTTGATACTGGACGGCTGTAAAGTTAAAGGCATTACATTGTTAACACTTATCATTTTATAAAGAAGCTTTCTTATTTAGATTTGCTGTAGATTTGCTGATGCTATTCATTCAACGAAGGGCCAGATTTAAAAGGGACGCTCACTGTTATTGCAGCAATTACTTGTCCAAAAGAAGATATATATTGCTCCACCTCCAATGCAAATATGAACAGAATGGACAGTTTGTTAACATCTTTATCTGTTAGAATGGCTAATCTGGGCTGTCCGTTTCAGTGTCTCATCTATGGTCCATATTTTTGGCCATATGAGAGTTAGATATACAGTAGGCCCAAGTACAGAAAAGACAGTGATCTGTATCCTTATCAAGTTTCTCTTAAACATATAAACATAACCAGCATGCATTCTGGGTTTGATTCTGCGAGCATTTCTGGTGAATCCTTTTACGTCTGAACCTGCAGTTAGATGATCATATTCATATATTTTTATTTCATTGAATTTATAATTACTGCAGCCAGGTTGCAGTCATTTTGTAATCTGGAATTTCACAAGTTCTTCGCTATATATATATATATATATAACCTGACATGTATATGTCAGAGTCTTGTAATGATATATGAAAATTGAAATGGGGCTCACGATTTGCTGAAAGATCTGGACGCATGAAGAGATAAACCTTTATGTCTTCATGTATGTGATAATATTCGTGTAAACAATCATAAGGCAGACAATTCTGTGCATGCTCGCAGATACAGCATGTGAGCGAACGGACCCACTGCACAAATTGTGTGCCAAGCTATCATCTCAAGCTCATCTCTAAATATATTTTTCTTCAGGATTAATGCAAGAGGACAAAACGTCAAATTTATCAACATCCTGTACTTTTTTAAATCCATGAACATTGAAAAAGTTAACCTGGACAGTAATATTCATATGATATGAAGATATATGAAGTTATATTGGATGGAATTAACTTTGAACACAAAAATAAATTCCCAATAGTGTGTTTCTATGGGTTCCCTTCGCCCCTTTCTCGGAATAGTGTGTTTCTATGGGTTCCCTTAGCCCCTTTCTCGGAAAGTAAGGAGGCAGTACTTAAGAAGAATAATTCAGAACTGATTTACCGTTCAAATGAAAGCAAGACCAGTAGTGTACAGTTGCGAAAAGAATCAACAGAGAAATAAAGTTTATTTTACAGCAATCCAGCTAAGCAGCATACATCAAATTTGGTGGAAGACATAAATGCATAATAGCTATCAAAAACAGTACCATGCGGATTTTTATATATTGTCATGATCATAAAACTTCAAGTTAATGCAATTTTTTTTGCTGAATTGGGAGTAAGGGTAAAAAGATAGGTATCAAGTGATATAACAGGAAGAAAGGATTCACAAGAAAAATACTCAACCAAAAAATTAGCCTAATCCTGAAACTTTTTGGGTGAACCCCGTCATTTATCTTGACATCCGGCCACAAGAGGAGAGGTTAATCTTAAAACTTCCGAGTGCTTAGTTTCAATAAAACCAGTACAAGCTTCATGTTTGGTTTCAACTTGCTAACACATGAAATTAAAAAACCTATATCCCTAACCTGGTGCAATTTATAAATATATATATAATAACCGTCAAATGATTAGAGAACTCAGCAAATTACATAACCAATTACTACAAACACTACAATTTCAAAATGAAAAACCTAATATGCTAAGGAGTAAATATGTATTTTTTAAGGGATGATTTGCTGTAAATAGGACTTCGAACTACAAAATCAATACACCAAAATGGCTATTCCGACCCTCTTTTGTTACATCCACAGGCAGACAGTGCAATAAGTTTATTGATCGGTTATGATGCAAATCCTGGAGAACACACAAGCTGCATGCTCATGGGTATAGTTCAACAAAAATAAAAAATAAAAAACACAAGAGAGCTTCATTTACTGAGATGATTAAAGAAATATAAACATGAACACACCTGGCCTTCGCATCTTTTGCCAACTCCTGCCAAAAATGTTATCCGACATTGTTAACCCAAACAATATAAGATGATAAATCTGCAGAAGTCTCGAAAGCTAGAATTTTGGTGCAACATAAAATTATTCAATCCTATGGCGTGAGCCTTTTGAGAAGATGGATATATATAAAAAAACAATTTAATTTATATGTATGAGATATACCAAGTTTACAAGAGGGATACTGTTGAACATATACTACTTATAATGTTCATATACTACTTACAAATTAAAACGCAGCAAAGTAAGAGAAAAATAACTATAACAAACAAGGCCAACAGTATCTACAATGCTTCCCCTGAGCTGACCGAAAGGACATGAGTATAAATATATATATGATTTTAAACCGTGACTGCAATTTCAATCACAAATATATATATTGATCCTGTGAAACCAAAGGAAAATTAAATACAGCCATAAATATCAACAGAAGTTATTGCCACAAAAGCCGATCCTAATTCCTGTGAGTTTATGAACTGTTAGATGTGAAAATGATCAGTGTTCTAAATAAAATTTGATGATGCAGAATAGATTTCTCAGGAACACGAAGCTCTATATATCTGCTAAGAGGAACATAAAGTGAACAAATTTTTCATGTATTAAAGAAAATAATACAAATCAAGGAGAGAATTTCACTCAACAATTGCACACATACAAACTACATGAAAGTATCCAAAACCCTAATGGCAGGAAAATGAAAAGGACTTAAAAGCCTTGCGGAACACATGGAAATACAAACTCCATTATCTGAGATTACCAATTATACCTTGATTAGATCTCTTTTAACTTTATAAATGTAGCATAGAAATGACATGCTGCGACACTATAAGCCCTTCAATCACCCGTTACTGTAGATATAATAGTCTTTCATTAATTCGCTTGTAAAAGAAGCTCGATCTCTTCTGTTTTTCTTCTTCGATATCTTGAAGAATTTTAGTTCTGTGATTCCCTTGTGTTTCATCTCTGGGATTCTAGCTCTCAAAGGCAATCACGCTTGCAGTCACTTGCAGTTGAATCTGCTAAGCGCAGTTGCAGTTGAAACTAGTAAACTGTCTTCTTTAAAACGAAGAAAATAGATCGATCAATATATATATACTAGATTACCATAAAAGACCATAAAGAAGCCTCAAGAACTTGCATGCAAGCTCTTCTGTATAATTCCAGAGTAATTGAACAAGCTCTATCAAAAATCAAACAAGAAGGGATCAGCATAATCCCAAAGGGCAGTTGTTGGATACTCCTCATCATTTGTCAACGGCCATACGGTCGGCGATCCGGGTCCAACCGCAATAATCGGATCCGGGGCAGGTGGTGCAACAACAGTTTGAGTAGAAAGTGACAAAGTTGAACCCATATAACCCGCGAGTGAGTTGATATCATCGTACGGGTTGACGTACGGGGTTATTGCTCCACCAGAATCTCCATAGTTAATAATCGTCCCATCAGTCAGAGGATGCTGATACTCATGAAATTGTTGCATCAGTTGTTGGTTAGTATTTTGTACTATGTTAGGACAAAACACATTGGAACCAACATTAACAACATTCTGATAAACCCCGTAGGGCATAAACCCAGTTGAAGAACCCATACCAGCCGCCATAGAAATCGGCTGAGCCATAAATGGGGCGGAACTGGATAAAGTGAAGCCAAAACCTGAGGGACGAGGAAGCAAAGGCCTGAGGGTTTGAGCTGAAGAAGAAGAAGATGATGAGCCCCGCGAAGTTGAAGATTGTGATGACGTGGAACTGGAGGGTGTAAGATTAAGCTGAGCTCGTGAACCGTAGAGAATAATAGCAGCTCGGTCGTAGGCACGCGCCGCTTCTTCGGCAGTAGCAAAAGTTCCAAGCCATTTACGGGTCCGTTTTCGAGGCTCACGGATCTCAGCGACCCATTTGCCCCAACTTCGCTGTCTCACTCCTCTGTATCTAAACTTACTATTGTCTGGTCCACCTTTGCCTTTGCACTTCTTGGTGTTGGTGTTATTATTGACGATTGAGTTATTTGAGCTGTTGTTTTCACTGGTTGTGGTGGTGGTGCTATCAATGCTTTTGCTTTTAGTATCATTTGTGGTGGTGACAGTGGCGTTTTTATCTTGAAGAGGGTGAGGACTATTGAGGCCTGAGTCGTCCATTTAGATTTAGGGATGTGATTTAAAGATTTAAAGCGAGAGAAAGATGGAGACTCACTCACCTCGTTTATTGGTATTCTTGTTTCGAAATAGAGGAGTGCTGTGTTTGGGTTATTTCGAGTGTCATTTCTTTGTTAATGGTGGACTAGGGCGGTGGCCATTTTTGTGTATACGCATATACTGTGAATGGGAAGATTGCTGTGCTGCGAAGGAAACAGTCTGAACTCAAGCTGCATTGGTTTTGGAATTTGGAATCATTTATTATTTTATTTCTTTTTATCGCCTCTTTCTATGACATTTTCAACCTCTCATTTTCGGTAAAAACCCTAGAAACTGAAATCTTTCTTCGTGAAATTTTGTACTTTAATATATTTAGTATTCAGAAAATTCATTATTAGTCAATGAGCTAAGGGAAGTACTGTAAATTAAACTTGTACATAAAAGAAATCAATTTGAGTAAAGGACTATTTTCTATCCAAATAATAGTTTAACGATATGTTCTTACTCGCATACTATTAAAATACTATTTTATTATCTAAATTTATATTCTGTTTTCGGTTCCGGCATCGTTACGACCCCATATCATCACCATTCTCTTTCTCGTTCATCATTCACCAAAAACTCTCAAACTCTACTCCCATCAATCCCGTCAATCACCAGTAATCGAGCGATTAGTATTTGTACAACCGTCCTTTCCAAGTCAAATTTCGATCAATCTCAACTACCAAAATCCAACCTTCCACAATTAAAAGACTCATCAGTCCCCCCTCTTCAAAATCCTCAACAATTTAGATTAAGTTTGTTCTCTATTCATCATTAGAATATAAAGTTGGGTAATAAAGTGGTATTTTAAAAGTTTATAGGTGAGAAAGTGTCATTAAACCAATATTTGGGAGGAAAAAAGTGGTTAAGTCAATTAACTTAAAAATAAATTGAAAATTTGGTTCTGTAAATTATATAAAGGGAAAGTTTCCTAAGTGTGTTAATTAGGATTATATAAATATTTTGCGTATATGTTTTTATGGTATATAAGTTTATCTCATATGGGTTGGTGAAGTTCCTGTCTCAAAGCAATAACCAAGATGCTTCTGCTTCTTCTGCTTCTCTCTGGTTCCTCGCCACCAGTAGATTTTGGTTTCTTCACGAAGATATTACTTCGTCATGAAGGTATCCTAGGATTACTACTGTAAAGAGAGTCTTTTCTTTGTTGAAATTTTTACTTGGTACATGTAAAGACGATGCTACAAGTGAGAGTACTTTGATGGCTATGTGAATTTCTGTCGTATTAAAGCACTATTTGATTCATATTACCCAATCATGAAGTAGCGACTTCTGATGCTGAATGATTAAATTGCTTCTTTCTTTTGGTGGGTTTTGTTATGCGAGAAAAAGTAAGGTTGACGTGGAGCCTTGTAAATAAAGGATGGTCAAAATTCAGAAAGGTTCTACGTCGTTCAAGTGCGGCCACGTCGCGCCTAGCGCAAGTGGCATGACTCCTGTCAGTGCAGCAGGTGAGTGTCAAGCTAGCAAGCGGCTGAAGATCGTCCACGTGTCAAAACCCAGTTTTAATCGAGGAAATCCCTTGGGCAAGTGATCAATGTGACGCAAAGAAAAGATTTGCGTAGCACCTATCCACTTGCAGCTTTCATAATCATTACCTTGAACTTTCTCACTATAAATAGATAACTTCCCTCTCATTTATGGGGATTAGCTAATTTTACGCTAAAATAGCTCTCTCTCTCTCCCTAAACTGTAACTCAGCTCGTTGAACGCGACCTGATCATTCTCTCTTATTAAGACAATAACAGTGGACATATGATTCGCTTTATAGCATCCAAACTACTTTAAATATTGTTCTTCACCTTTTATTTGATTCAATCTTCTCATATCACGTGTGAACTTCTAAGTCATTTTAGTATTTTACACGTGCGAGTAGTTGGTGTCAAAATCAACAGTTTTAAAGATCCATTTCTCGGTATAATAAATCTCGAAAATAAATCCTCAAATATGCACTACTTCATTAGAAGACTTAATTGCTGACCCAAAATAACATAAAGAGACGTCTGTTCTTGTGATGAGCTTTATGACTTAGATGCTCTGGAGGTCAGCCAACCTCTCTGCATGATGATGTCAAAGAGTATCTACATAAATAAACTGCGAGTCTTGTCGCTTCAATGGCTTCCAGTTTGGGGTAATATATTAAATCTAATACAGCCTATCCCTCTTGTTACCGTATAGCTTTTTTGATCTTTGAGTGGGAATTGTTCCTCACATGAACCACATCTCTCTTCTTGTATGTCAGAAAACAGATAAACATATAACAAAAAGTAAATTTTATAATCTGAATCATAAAACTTACTACCTGCTAACTCAGGAAAGTAACAGTATAAGTAGATCTATTAATAAACATTTTTCCATTTGATATTTGCTCATCCCAACATAAATTCTTGAGGATGACCACTGGTACATAAGTCTGTGAAAGCAACCGCTAAAAATGAAGTCAATCTTCACATGCTATTCCAATTTCAATGTGCATTAAAGGATTCAACTCCCTAGGTCTCCCTCCCAAGCAGCAAGGAAAGGAAGCTGCATTTATAATACGGAGCTTGCTGGCTAGATTTTCCTTCTGAAAACTCGTAGATCGTGTAGAGTTTTTCTTCATCGGAAATAAGCAAAGTTTTCCAATATCTTTTATATCTTGTTTTTTATTTTTTTAATGTTAAGTAAATAAATTTATAAAAGAAGAGTGGAAATAATATACATAGGTCTAGTAAAGGGCGGTTAACCTATATCAAGACATGCCCCGAGATAGGGATCAAAAGAAAGTAAGCCGATTCACGGCTAAAAAAATTCCTCTTGTGGTCCTATCTTAATCTCACCAAGAAAGATAAAGGATACATGAGGAGTATCCAAAACTATTTTCAAAGGAACTCGGTCTAGCCGTCTAGGTGAACAAACAAAAAATACCAATAACAATAGGGAAAAACAAAGAAAATACAACCAATAAAAAAGAATTAAGTTTTGACCCATCAAGGAGGAAACCAACCACATCTGAGCTTTAAAAAGCATCGTTCGTCCTCATCAAATCACCAATGAAGATAGAATCATGGGAAATGGCTTTGAAAATAGTTTTAGGGAGGCCCCAAAAATCCTATCTTGAATTTATGGCTTCCTACGCCTAAAATATATCTTTTTTTTCCCAACATCGTAGATTATCACAAATGTAACGTGACTGTATTTAATTAATATAGAATTGAGGTAATTATGATAAATATTCTGATAAAGTAATTTATGCATGTTGATGCGTGATTTTAACACCAACTATTCGTACGTGGGAAATGCTGAACGGACTCAGAAGTCACACATGGTAAGGGGGTGCTTGATTGAGTAAGGAATGAAGAACAATGTTTAAAATGGTTCGGATGCTGAAACAAGCGAATCTTACGTCCACTGATATTGTATTAATGAGTGAAATCAGGTCGTGTTTAACGAGCTGATTTATAGCTTAAGAAATACAATAGGGAGAGAGAGAGTGTGTATTATATTTCAGAGAAAAGTTAACTAATCCCACAAACAGGAGAGGAGCCCTCTATTTATAGTGGGAGGAACTAAGGTAATGATGACTAAATCCGTGAATGGGACAGATGCTGTGCAAATCCTTCTCTGCGTCCCATTACTCACCTATCCGAGTGATTTCCTTGACTTGTGCAGGGATTGGACACGTGGATATTTTCTAGCCTTTCGCCAACCTGACGCATACGTTGCACTGGCTAGAGCATGCTGCTCACGTCATCACGCGACATAGCTACATCTGAGTAGTTGTAGAACTTTTTTAAGCTCCAATCACCCATGCTGACTAGGCTTGACGTCAACTCTACTTTTTAGGCTTAACAATGTAGTAGATAATAGAAAAAAAGAAATAAAATGATATATAAATCATGTGATAATGAAAGAGTAAACCACTTTAAAGTGTATATAAAATTTGCAGAAAGTTAAAGATGAGGGAATATTAACTACCAGTTGCCACAACCTTAGCAACAAATGAAGAATAAAGGAGGGTGACAATGGCGAATGGCAATACTGCATGAAGAGATGAGGTGTCTGCATGTAAGAGGAACCACATGAGGATTGATAAAGAAGCATGCAGGAGATAGCATAGCATGTGGTGGCTAGCTACCAACTCACTGCGTTGGTACTCACAAAACCCACTCAGTAAACATAACTACTAGTTGGACCATTTTATTTACATTTATTTATTAATTAATTAATTATTTGCAGAAAAATGTCTGATCTGATTCTCTATGCTCAATGGGTGACCTTTATTTGTTTGTTCTTTGTCCACCATTTTTGAATCAGCATTGGGTGGGTTGTAAGCTTCAAGGGGAGCTGTTGCATTCTGAGCCACAACTTCAATTTTAATTCCTTTCAAGGACCGATTCTTCTTCTTTAAAATATTATTAATTAGTTATCAATGAATGAATGAGGTTTTATCTTCATCATCTGCATATCTATATTATAGTTTCTGGGAACCATATAATACTTTACTTAGCTGGAGATTCTTCTATTATCCCAAAAGACAAAGAAACGAAGCATTGTTGCATCACAACGTCCTTAGATTCCTTTAGCATTGTTGATGCGATAATTCTTTCCGACCAGAAATATTCAGTCGGCCTCGGAATGGATCAGATAAGATGTACGCGTAATTACTGGTAACCAACAAGGTCGTTAAAAACAACATAATAAAATAAAGAACAAAAGAAATTTTATAATGATTCGACGGTATAGAAACCAAACTTACATATACTATTATGTTATTATTGATGGATGTTATAAGGTCGAATGAGATTACAAAGGAAAGTTTGCGAGTTAAATAAAGGACATTGAACTCTCGCAACCTATTCTCTTTATACTCTCTCTAAAACAGATCAGTGTATTTTTCTCTTAGACTTTACTAATACCGTAATCCCTTAAAATGAAGGTTGTGAGCTCCTTTTATACTTGGC